GCATCAGGAGGCCCCTGGGCTGCCACAAGAGCCCTAATTAGGCAGAAATGGCACTTCGGCAACTGACCCGCCAGGACCTTTGGCAAAGCATTTAACATCATTAGTTAACATTTTTATTAAAAAAAGTGTGAATGTAAATGAACAGCCAATGCATTTCAATAGGGTTTGTCGGTGGCATCACATGCCCCCCCACTCTCCTAACCACACACACACTTTTTTGCATGAATAGTTCACTTGTTTTCCCTAAAGGGGGATGGGGACATTGCGAATGTTTTTCCAAGAGAACTAGACGTGTTCAAAGCAGAAGCAAGGTCTTAAACAATCAGTAACAAACTCCTGCCTTTTGGGGAGCGTGTCGGGCACTGAATGAGCAGAACCAAACACGGTTGTACCTGCGATGTGCCCCGGGGGACATCTGGAAGGGGCAGCACATAGAACTCCCCACTCAATAACGACAGATCCCAATCACAAGGAAATAGGATCAYTTTAAGTGCATGCCTTCTATATTCTTGCAACAAAAGAGTAAGTACCTAATGCAGTAAGTCTGCAACCTATCAAATGCTACAGAAATGCAGAAAGATGCATGCCTAGAAACATAYATTCTTCTGTTTCTCTATTGCTTCTTGAAGTCGTTGCATACYATTTTTAATAGAAAATCATCAAAATATACTACTCAGGGATACTACTAAATCTACTTTAAAAAACCCACAATTTCTCTTTGAAACATTATTTATACTTGCAGACAAGTATTCAGCCTTGAGACAGTGTATTAATACTATTTTTTTTCCTAAGAGTTCTTTAGCTGAAGAGTTTCCATATTCCAGCAATCCTGACCGATCTCCAAAAATCTGTGTCAGGAATAAAGAACCATAAGAAAAAGAAATAATYAAAAACACACATTTTGATAAAGAGTTGGAAAGAGGTTGGAAGGATGTCCAGTTCCCAAGTATTTTATTTCTTTCTTCCAGTGCACACTCCTTTTATTTCCCTCCAGTCCATTAGCTCTTTCTTGCTCCCATATGAATCATAAAATATAGCACTGCAGATGTTCCCTTGTCCAGATAAGGGCTGTGTTACATTAAATTTTGGATTTTTTTCCTCTCACTCTGTAATASCCAGGTTACTGGCAAGTCCTGCCTTTCCACCAAAGAAAAGATTTTCTCATCCGTTAAGAACTCATCCCATTGCAGCTGCATTGACCATCACTTATGCATTCCAAAATAAAGCAGAAAAGTGACAGAAGATTAAATTTTATCTTCCAGGCAAGGTACTCATGATGAAGATGCTGGAGATTTGAGTTCATCAGGCTTCCTCCRCAAGCAAAGACAAGGCACCTTCTCAGTTACCTTCCTCAGTCCCACATATGAAAAATCAAAATAATAGGATTGTCATTTTCTCAAACATATGCATATCTGGACGTTCTGCTCCCTGACTGTTCTGAAGCCACAGAATCCCTGCATCAGGAAAGGGGCTTGGTTAGGCCCCCTCTATATCCAGTTTGTTACCTAAGCAARCTGCACCCTCAGCCCTGACGTGACTAGTGCCTTAAGTTTATCTCCTGACACAGCAAAACAGAARACTGTCTTCAAAGTACATCAGACAACTTTCCCATCTCTGGCACTAAGATGCACCAAGACTTGTACGCACAAAGCCAGAATACAGCAGAGGACACTTATACCCAGCAGTGTAGTGCAGTAGTGCAACCATTAATACTGCTTGGTTTCTTTCCAGRAAAGGTTCTCTGATCTTTTGTTTGTGCTATGCCTAGCCGAGAAAGGTCTGTACTAGAAAGATACACAGCAAAGAGGTTTATACAACGAAGATAAGAAAAGTAATGTTTTACAGGTAGGAGGTATACAGGAATATGTTCCCATACCTGCCCAATTCATGGTTAAAAGTCTCTCTTTTGTAAATGCTTTGGGATSGACACATTTTGTCATGTAAATTCTTACTGCATGTGTAGGTACAAAGCAAGTGCAATCATCCTCTCTTCAAATATCTGTAGTCTTCAAGGCCACTCTAGAAACATTAAAACAATATAGATGTCTAAATATAGATTTCTAAAGTACACAAGCAAGTCCCTTGCTAGAAATCCCTGTATGTATCCTGGCTTGACCTCTCACTAACCTGCCATATCAATCAAGCAGCAAATTTCAGTCAGTATTCAAATCATGGGTAAACACTAATTTAATGAAAACAAATTYCATATCTTCCTTTCTAGATCAGATATATCAAGAGAGAAATATTAAAATTTCTTGCTGACAAAATCAAAAGCGACGGTTACTTGTCTATCCTAATGATGCAGCTACATTTAAAGCCTGTTAGGCATAAAGAATAAAGATTACTTAGGAACTGCCCAAAAAAGCTGAACCATGCAGGGCCTAGAGAGATGATAACAGGAAGGTGTCTGTACCTTGCCCCTTTCCACTTCATATGCCTATTTCCCCTGAAGTTCTTCAGTACAGCTTCCCCTCTCCCACCAGGAACTAGAGGGGTAGGAGAAGGAAAGGAGAAGTGAGAGGAGAAGGAAAGCCTTTATTGAAAGGCTCGTGCTTCCCTTCCTGATTTTGGCCAATTTTCTGCAGGTTATTAAGTTGCTTCTGCAGGAAGCAACTCCACCRCTTTGTCTTAGAGACTAACTTCACTGTCTACTGTTGTGAGACCTGCAGCACAGGCCCCAGATGAGTCTCCTTTTCTCTAGCTGTTTCTCCCTCTGCTTCTCCTTGTCTTTCTGTAATGATTTAGCTTGATCGTATTGGTCCCTTTATAGCAAGGATTGCTCTAAGGATCAGATAACATAATTGCCTACAGAATTCTGCTCGGCAACAACTATTACTGCCATGGCTGAAAATGTCAGAGCAATTGAAAAAAGCTCTTGGTGAAGTTCAAGAAATAAGGAGGCAAAAAAGCAGCAGCTCCTAGATATGGGTGTATCAGTGCTTATATAGCAAGTTTGCTATGGCCACACTCCTGGAGTAAGATCTTGCTTTCTGTATGCTACTTTGGCATATTTACCATTTGCAAAACTTTTTTAAAGAAGATGTTTAAACAAGACTGTGTTTTTTGCAGCTCAAAACAGTAGTTTCATGAAGTGATAGCTTATCTGAAATGCTGTACCAAACTCCACCTGAATAAARCAGGTATCAAAGTATTAATTATCTGGCATGGTCTTATTTGAAAAGATTTTATGCATCTCTGATAAATATAATTCCAAATATTTGTTASTAATCTTGGCCTGGTCACTACATATTAATAGCCAGCAATGAATCCATCTTCTTTCTTTGCTTTCTGAACAGAGTGATTATTACGATGGGTATTTGGACACACTAGGTTTGCGGATTGCTTTCTGGCTGAACCTTGACAGGTTTTCCCTACCGTCATTTTCATGTACATTCCACAAAACGTACCAGTGAACGTACGTTTCTCCAGTTCTAGAGGGTTGTCTATCAAACCACGCTTTACATCAATGCCTCTTCTTATGTTGCTCTCAGTAGCACTTTGCAAGAAATAAAGACTATAAGACAGCAGTCCTAGATCACAGTTAAAGGTACATGGCATTCAGTGAAATACACAGAGTCTGCAATGTTTTCAGTGGATTTATATTTACTCATTTTTTAAAAACATATTTAGAAATTCCATCAGAGATTTAGAGCCTGATCCTGAATTTTGTTCTGAAGCATAATCCCAACTATGTTCCACTGAATAGTCTTTCTTTCTTATTTCAGTAAGTCATCTTTTTTCCTTCTAGGAATCTGAAATACTGATTTGATATTAATAGCRTTTTCTTCTAACAGTCATGACGTCAATAAGTAAAATTAACTTATTTATTGTAGCTTTAATCATTATGCAGAACTAACAATATCTTGAAAAAAAAAAGTCTTCTTTTAGAAGTAAAAAATCCTACAGTTGCCTATCTGATTCTTGAAAATTGGTTACCTGTGTTTAAAGGAGCAAATGAAGTCTGCAAAAAAAAAAAAATCGAAGCACCCTTCGGGCTATTTACAATTTCTCAAATATTAACATCTTTTCCAAAAGCCTGCAAACCCACACCAAATTTATGTTCCCAGACCTCTGTAATTTCAAGCCCTTTTGTAAGACTTACAGGTCTTAGTTTTAGTTGAAGTCAAAGACGTTCAAGCCCACTCAAGATCTGTCACTTTGAGACAAGTGACACAACTAACTTTTAATATATTCCCATTACCATGTAGAATTCACAAAAATAGCATCTTGAGGATAAATATATCCCTTTCAAACAGTACTGTTGCTCAATATTTTTCCTTTAAAATGAGGTATATGGATTTGCTTCAAAAATGTATATAAAAAAAATAGAATATATAGGAGCAACGTCTCCATTTATTTTTTTTTCAGTTTTGAACTGACAACAATTAATAAAGACAACAGAAAAACAGAGACTGGAAAAAAGAGAAATTTTAGCTTCATTTACCCTGCATATCCTAAGCCTCAGAGAAATTATTGCTTTTGTATAGCAATAAATAGGATCAAAATAACTGTAAATACCCACCACTTTCATATGCTATCTGAAAACTGTGTTTCTTGTGAAGAAGCAGTGACAATAGGAAGCAAGCTTGTTGAAAATTAAGGAGCTTTTGTATTAAATAAATTTAAATTAAACACAGAAAAAAAAAAGTCAGTTATAAACTCATATGATCCTATGTGCTTATCCCAGAATGATAGTCAGGCTTTTGCTCCAGATGGTGCAATAGTGTTTGTGACATCCACTTTGAACTGCAATCTAGTTATGTGCCAAGTAGGAGAGTCCATTATTCACAGCATCAATGCTAGGGAAAGAAGGTTAAAAGTTCAAGACATGCCCCAAGTGATTAGGGTTGTAAAAATYAGGAGATATACCATGGGAAAAAAATGCCATTCTTCATTTTCTTCCATTTCCAATCTGTCCCCAGAACTATGTTTAAGGAAAATAAAAACAAAACACAGAGAGCAGGGAAAGCTCCAATTCGGTATAGTCACAGAAAAATTACCTTATTATTTGAGTTCTCTAAATTCTTCTGCTACCGCCTTCAATTTTCCTAGAAAGAAGCAGAATATCTTTTCTTAAAGAAGTGTCAGATAGCTACAAGATTTCAGAACTAACACTTTTACTCACTTACTGTGATATTCATTTCAACTGGAAGCTACTTGTAAGCAATTGATTTCTTTCTTTTTTTCTTTTCTTTTTTTTTTTTTTTTTAAAGTGTACTGCATGTATCCCCAGTTCATCTGGGCTTCCCTGATTGGTCACGTAAGCCTTTGATCTGAAAACCTGTTACATATAAACCTACAGATCGCTTCCGATCATCCCTGAAATTTCTGTACGTCAGTCTGCAAGTGCTGCTTCTCAGGTAGCTCGGCAAAGGAGCTATTATAATTTTCTGTATAAAAATAATTTCTTTTTTCTAAGGTAATATGTAATATTTAAGGGATTGTTAAACCAAGATAAAAGGAAAGAAGACTCAAAGAGTGAAGCCAAAAAAAATCTGATAAAAAAATCAAATCAAAAAAAATCAAAAATCAAAATTCTTCAGTGAGAGTAATGAAACAGAACTAAATAACCATGATTTATGTTAAAAAAACTGCTTAAGAAGTAATTATCGAGTCTCAAAATTAAAAATTTCAGCATCTGTTCCCTCTTTCTAACATCATGTTCACCACTTAATTTGAGTACTATGTTTTAAAAATTACAAACACACCTTGCCATATCATCTCTGAAACTATGTCAGTGTCTTGTATACTAAGTATCACCAAGTGATACATAATCATGTGTTTTTATTTTCTTATATTGGAAAATATTTGACACTAATTTCACAAGGCCACCCAACATTCACACTCAGTCTATATTCATAAGTGCATTAAAATTTCAGAGTAAGATATTAACAAAAGTCGCTATAATCCATCATGGCAATGAATCCTACAATAGGTTGCCTTCAATAAGATCTTCATAAAAGTTACTTCAAAACACATGCACAAAGGAATCATACAGGAAATTCTTGATATGCTAAAGTGAAACTACTACACCACTCATTAATAATCTTTGTACAACACTAGAAAAACACGTAGATTAAAGAAATTTGAGGACAACCTATTATAAACTCAAAAATCAGCTCAAAAATTAGATTATCAGTATTCCAAACATACTTATTGTTACGTTTGGTAACATTCCAAATAACCTCCAGGATGAGAATGATAATGATAGTCTATTGGCATTCATATATTAGTTCTCCTGCCTCTGGAAAAGCCTAGGTTCATCCTCACACAACTGCAGCTGAACTGACCCATAGTAACCAATGCTCAAACTCATAAAGAAATTAGCACTAAAAAAAACATTCAACTTGAAATAACCATTGGAGAAAAGAATAAAAACCATAAATTGTTACCATCAATTTCTATTGATTTCTATTTTGGAGACTTTTCATATAGTCTCAGAGATTAATCTAAAATTTTATGTCCAGCTGTGCCCTATGACCAAAGTTTTTGTTTTATCTTGTACATAAAGCTACATTGAACTTTGTTAAAGTTTGTCCTTCACAGAGTACAATAAAAAATACATTTTTTATTTAAAAATAAAAACAAAACAAAAACACTAGAAAAATCTTGATATCTTTCTTATTCAAGAAGCTAGAGTGCCTCAAGAACAGTAATATTCTTGAATATGATTAGTTGCACTACCAAGTTAGACGGCTAATCCTAATTTTACTGGAAAACTGATGCAGCTTTTATATTCTCAGACTTGACTGCAAAGAAGACGCTGTTAGTAGAATGAGCACACAGTGCTCATCTGTGAAATCCTACAACACAGATGGCAGCAAGACCATGATCCTCATTGATTTAAAGAGGCAAATTTATTACCATATTTTAGAATGGCAAAAAGGAAGCCCTTTAGGCAGCACTTATTAAGCATGGCACATTACCTCTGCTTTTAGAGTAGCCCCAAATTATGGTGACTAGCACCACACAGATAACTCACTTAAGATAAAACTCTGGGGGGCAAGAATTTGCATATAAATTGTGACCAGCTATTCCTCCTTAGAATTATGTTTATAGCAAAGGCAAAAAGATGCTAAACATTTATGTACAGCTGGCCTAAAAAGAAACACAAGAATGATGTTGCTATCTACCCAAAATATTGCATGATTTAAAATACTTCTGTATTTTAATAATCGGCTGATTATCAAAAGATATCAAAGCATAGTGTTACCGGACAAGCGAGAGCCAATAGCCTAGCCTACAGTATTTGAGTTTGTGTACCTTTTAAAATTACACCTAAAACTTGCATAACTGAGTCAACTTCACTATTTAAAASCAAAAAAACAACTGCTGCAAAACACCATTTGTACCTGTCCCTTTCTCAAAGGGCAGATTCACATCATACACTTTTTCCTCACTGATTCCTTGGGACTTGCTGCATATGTTCTGATTAGCACGTTTTTAATTACACTTTAGCCTGTTAGCACTGTGGGGCCAATAAAACTAAGAGAAATAGAACTAAATTCTTTTCATTCAACACAACTGTTAACTAGATTCCAATTAATTACACCTACACAAGCCTAATGGAGATAATGGGGTTGCAGAAAGTTCACCCATAGTATGAAATGGCTCACAGAACCCTAACCTTAATCAGTTAACTACTTCATAATAGGTAAGATCACAGGATAAGTCATCCTCTTTCTACATGCTTACAATTACTATTACTGTTAATGGAGATTACATGGCTATACCAGTAATTCACCTAACCCTCCTTTGATCACAAGCCAAAAATGATAAATATTTAAAAGGAATTCCTAACATTTCTACTGGTATTTCAAAAGGGGAGGGAGGGGGGCAAAGGGGACCTTTAATTTTCCTTGCAGAATTTTATTAAAATTTCATGCTCTGGGCCAAACGTCAATTTTCTTTCATCATGCTGACTCTGCAAACTTCCTCCTGAGGAGAAAAAGACCCATAGAAGCAGCATCCCACCTCATGAAACCGCCTTGAACCAGGAAAATTTAACTGGATTTTCTCTTTTCACTTTTTCCCCCATTAAAAAAAAAAAANAAAAAAAAAAAAAAAAAAAGAAAAAAAAAAAGAAAAAAAAGGAATGGGTAGTGTCAGTTCAGAAACTTCTTCAGGGACGACTATAAGAGGCAGGTTCAACTCTCCTGAGAGGCACCACACCATTTCTAAAGGATGTGAAAGGAAAAGAAAACGATTCAGCAGGGATTTTTCTTCATTATCACCCAGCCCGGAGAAGCGAGCACACAACGCGCAGGGGCTGCTCGTATTGATTTGCGAGCCAGGCAAGCGTGCAGCTAACAGCTTTTTAAGTATCTCCATTTTCAGTTACTTCAACAAAATTACCAATGAACGGTGTAACAAAGTGAAAGTTTTTGTAGGAAATTGCAGACTAAAAAAACGATCATTTGGGTTGTGAAGCGCTTCTTTTCATTGAAAACAGAAGCCTTTTAAATGCTGAAGCAGAACTATCGGCTACGTCTCTGGGGCGTTTTGTAGCTTTATCCTCACTGGGCGCTTTGCAAATAGTAATCTCTTTTTTTTCAGGACGATCATCTTGCACAGCTTTGGTGCTCAGAGACTTTTGGCAGTCCAGAGTGTCTGCTTTGGGCATTCTCGCTTGGAATGACCATAGCCAGCCTCTGAAGGAAGAGCAGAGGCTACGTGTATGAAATAAACACACAGAAAACAAGGAAAAAACAATAAATAAAAACAAAACTACCGTTTCAGCGCAAACAAAGCAGCAGGTAACAGTCGCTGCCGGCGGGTAACGGCCGCCGCTGGAGCGGGTAAACGGTCGTAACTTGCAAGTAACGGTCGCCTCCCGTGAATAACGGCCATGGGGCGGGTAACGGCCGCCGCCTGCGGGTAACGACCGCAGGTAAGATGACAAACGGTCTTTGCCTGCCAATAACGGTCCGGGGGAGGGCGGGGTGTAACGGCCGCCGCCTGCCAGTAACGGCCGCGGGGCGGGGCGGCGGCGGGCAGGTCTCGCGAGAGCGCGGGGCCGCCGCCGTCTCCTAGCAGCCGGGCCGTGTGGGTGCCGCCATGGAGGCGGAGGTCGCCCGGCGGCGGCGGCGGGCTCGGGAGGCCGCGGAGTACTACGGCAGCCAGGCCGTGCCGCGGCGCCTCGAGGAGGCCCTCAACGCGCTCTTCCCCYTGCGCCCCGCAGACCTCTACGGGGGCTTGGTAGCGCCGGGCAGGGGCGGTGCGCGGGCGGCTAGTGCGCAGGCGCCGTGCGGCGGCGGGGGCGCCGCTGAGGCGGCGGGAGGCTCCGTCACCGCTCCCCCGAGCTGGGCATGGTGTCCTGGGACCCGGGGCGCCCTGATGCTGGGCTGGCTCCTGCAGTGACACGAATTGAAGTTGTTTTGTCTTGGGAGTCCTTGGATGGGTGTTCCCTAATCTGCCCAACATCCTGGTGGTGCTGAAAGGGCCTTAGGCAATATGCAAACCCCGGGCCTTGTGCAAAAATGGGCCTCGGTGAAGGGATGAGAATCAGAGGTCACTTTTCTCTGAAACCAGCGTGACAAAATGTCGTGGGCAGCAGTGGTAGAAACACATCTGCTCATGGCAATGCTGGAAATGCCAGCAGTACAAAGAGGGTGAAAATCTAGAAAACATAACGTGTGCCCCGTTCCTCAATATGGAACACCTGTGGAAATAAAGCATTACACAACTGGCCTTGGTTCAGCCATATTTGATGGTCAAATGAAAACAGTTCCTGAGATCCATGTAATAGCACAAGGCAGAAACAAGTAAGAGAACCCTCCTCGACCAAATACTAGATTTCYACCTTTTTCAGGTGGCTCAGAGCCRGCTAACCTAAAATTYCAGATTTAAAATATTTAAAGCTGAATCTGAATTTTTTAAATCTGAAATTCCAAAATTGCAGATGGAACACTGCAAGCTCCATCAGTTGCCTAAAACACACAGCAGCTTAAATGGGTTCCTGGCTTGTTGGTTCAGGTTCAGATGATGCTTTCTAGGAGTGAGGGGTAAGGAGGTTCTGTTCCCCATCCTAACCCTGCCAAATGAAACATGTTTGTRTCACCTGGYGCAGCCTTTGKTTTGAGGTGAATCAGTCATATATGGAATGATTCTTAAGGGCATGCTATAGAAATATAAGTGAGATGCCACAGAAGTATATTGAGTACTGGGATTTGCAAATGGATGTACTCAGTAGTGCATTTGATTTAAGTCTGTGTAATGGAATAAAAACCTGTTTACACAATTATCAGCTTCTAATGAACTTCTCTCTCTTATTTAAGGCTAACTACTTTTCTAAATTATCAAAAGCTCCAGTAATATGCAAATTAGTTGGAAGGAAAGTCCTTGATGGAGTTGGTCGATCAGTGTTGGAAGTGGAAATATACTGTATAATTAAAAATGATGAGAAGGTATGAGCTACCTCTTTCTATCTTGTTTATCTCATTAAGAAACTACCGGATGTTCCTTCTCCTACTCTCATCCTAATTTTATCTTAATTATTCTATCTTAAATGAAACGATATGACTCCACATGATGTAATAGTTGAGCAAATGGTCTTTGCAATGTAGAAAAACTAACCTGAAAAGGTTGATGATGACACCAATTATATGAACTCAGTTCTCCAGGAATTAAATAATATACCTCTSTGTTTTGTGAACCACATACAACAGTGCATCTTTGCCTATTAAACTTTTGTTTATCTTAACATTACATCCTGGTATTTTTRTTGTGTCCTGTAGCTAACTGTGTAAGTTCATTTTTTCTGGTACATTTTTTTTCTCTTTTAATCTGAAGATGTTATATTTTATTACTACAGCACTGTTTAAAACAATACAATATTGAAATAGAATACAAGGAATCTTTAGCAGTTTTGAGCAAATAGGTTGATGTGTGTGATAGCTGTCAAACATCCCTATATAAGCATGTGCAATGCAAATCTAATGCTGTGTTTCCCCTCTACCAACCTGAAATATCCGAGATTATTCAATATGTGGCTCCTAATAATGTAGTTTCTTTCACTTTCCTACAGTTAAACTATGAATCACTACATTTTTGATACTAAAAGGGAGTCAATTTAAAGAAATTATATATACTTTCAAAGGTATTCTTAGTRTGTAAAGTTAATATTCTTAGTGCAGCAAGCTCTATGGTATCTGTTAATTACTTCTTTATTAAGTGACATTTATAAGTATTGTTTATCCATATGGAAATACATGTTTAATTAGGACAAAATGGAAATACATGTTTAAATAACTARGATGAATTATAAGTACGAATGATAGCACTCAATATAAATGGCAATAAAACATGGTACAACAGACTGCCAACAGCTGCAAGAAGAGATGTTGTAATGACAGTACAGTTATAAAAATTAACTCTGTTCTGCACTGAGAATAAAATATAYGTGATAGACCTGTGAGGAGATTTGTGCCTAAATTGTTATCATTTAGTATGAGAAACTTGGATAGCCTGTTTTTACCAAAGTGCAATAAAAGAAAGAACGAGATGCAGAATGAAAGAGATTATTTAATAAAGTGGAGCAAACGGTGAATTTGGAAGCCTTGTAGAAGAGGAAAGAGATTTATTTCTCAATTCTTTTCACGTTAGAAATGAATGTGTTTTTTAAGCCTTTTTATAATATTTTACAGAGGGTTTGTTCCACTGTAATCTCCTCTCATTCTCAAATTCTTGAAAATGCTTTATCTGAAGCAACTGAGGCTGATGAGAAGGAAAGGAATGATTCTGTTAATGCTGCTGTGGAGTGGGTAAATGAATCGCTGAACGCATTGCTAAGAGACCTGAAGCCCACTGAGCAGTGTGAAGTTGATAAGATACTTGGGTAAGATGTRCCTTTTTTTTTTCTATTGCTCTATGCTACTGCAAAATAAATTACTGCATTTGAAATACACACTACRTCTAAATATAGATATATGTGTATATATATAATGAAAATGTGCTATATATTCCATATGATTTCTAAAGTTACTGTTCGTATATTTTTAGGATCTGATGTCCATCTCAGACACATTTCACTATCCTATTTCCTACTGCTTTAAATTAGGATTAAATGATATGAATTAAATATCATTAAGTGATATGAAAATCATACTACAAAAACTCATGGAAATTAAAGCTGTGGGATGGAAAATAGAGGTCTCTAAGAAAAAAAAAATTAGACACATGTGCATGATCCAAAGATAAAGAATTAAGATGAAGAAATTCATGCAGTACCAATTTAAATCATTTGGGGGCTTTCTGCTCGTTGCTCTGGAGAAAACAAGTGGTATGAAAGGATTACCTGTATGCATCTTGAGCAGCAAGCTAAATCCACACAGAACATATATATTTGTACCTATATTTGTATACACACATACTGCATAAGTATTCTTGCTATATGTGTGTGTGTGTGTGGATACAGATATACACACATATATTTATGTATATATATATAGTTTTCAGATTCTGGTAGTTTTCTTTCTGTGTAGGCSACTCCAAAAGGATACTTGACTGGAGTAATTAATCTCTCTTAGCTGATTTTGTGTATTTCTTGGGATCATAATTTCTCTAATAAACACTTGTCTATATTCATGTAAAGATATACTAGGAGTGCACAACCAGTGCACAACTGACTGATTTAATTAGCAGCAAAGCCCTGGTTCTTGTATGCCACGAAGTTATTAATATCCTTTACTTTATCTGTGTGTCTGAATGGAGCTCACTTTGAAAGTCTGTTAAGGTTTATTATACTTGCAGTACATTTGTTTGTCATTGTTACGGATGGCTAAAGGAAGTTATTTATTGACTCCTCTAGCTTCACATTCTTTAGCCTGTGTCTGCTTTTTGTGTGCCTAAAAATATTTTGAGCCTCTAATCATTATGTCCATTCTCTCAGTGAATATTTTACAAGAAAAGTAGAAGAAGAAAAAGAAATTCAAAAAGAAAAAGAAGAAGAAAAGGAGGAAAGCACTTCTCCCGTTCCTTCATCTGTTCCTCCAGCAGCTGCACTGTCTGGAGGAAAAAAAGGTTTTAGTTGATTTTTTTTTTTAATAATATTTTCTTCAATGTAAATATTGATAAAGATGCTAATATACTTTCTGAATTATTCAGTGGGCACTAAAAGTGATATCACTTCAGAACATTTGATTCATCTGTCCTAACTCTTCTCTCAGGTCACAGCAGTCTCTACTACAGAACTGAGAGGGAAAATACAATGTTTTCTCATTATTCATATGCTTTGGTTGAACAGAGTTTCTGCCTTTTGTTTCACAATTGGCTTAGACAGGAGGTTATTACTTTTCAGGGTGAGGAATAAGAATGGAGGAAGATGCAAATGAAGAATAGAAATGATAAGGAAAGAAAAGGAAATCTTAGAACTGAAAAGGACAATGGAAATGGCATGAAGTTACTAGTTTAAAAGAGTGGGAAGAGAAAGGAATGAAAGCAAGTTGCTCACTGACAGTAAGAAATGGAGGAAGTAAAGGTGAAAAGTTAAAGTAGAAAAGAAGGAAGGGAAAGAAATGGGGAAGATAGTATGGAATGAAAAAGAAATAGGCAAAAAAAAGTTATGTGTTGCCTGTGTGTATTGTTAGAAAGAAAATAACATCTTAATTTTTTACCATTTTTTAACAGCAGAAAATCCTGACAATTATTTTGTTATCAGCACAGTTTCAATTATTACATAATATTGGTAGAACCTTCTACTTAACATGTTAGATGTGTGTACAGTAGATTTACCTTTCATCTTAAATACAGCAATAGCTGTCAGGTCCAGACAGGTATCATTAGGCCTTGCATTTATACTTTCAGTCATTCTTCTGCTGATAAATAAGTTACCTGGTGTAATCTGTTCCTGTCTGGTTGTTCCATTAGCAATAATATTGTTAGAAACAATATTTGACTATTAGGAATCCATGATTGTAGCCGTTTGTCCTTACAGTGGAACTGTAAGAAATGGTGAATTCCATTGGCAGGTGCTTGAAGAGGTGACACCTATGTTGTAATTTAGGTAGGTTAAAAACTAGTGCCCTGGAAAGAATCTCTGCAAAATTGCAGCTCCTCAGTATTGCTCAGTGCTTTGTTGCTAATGCACTTTGCATGTGCCTGTCCTCTGGAGGTAAGCAGTTTGGAACCTATATATGGTAGGGGATTTGGTGTATAATCTGTATATGCAGCTAAAGTCCTTTTAGGCATATTTTATCTTAAGCTTTTGTAGTTGTACCCTGCAGTATTTGTATTTTATTGTTGAAAATCGCAACAGCAAATGGGAAGTTTGTATGAARCCCCCTTAGGAATTAAAGCAGTTGGTCAGATTTATTTTTAAAAGTACTCAAAGTATATAATTTCTGAGAATCATACCATTTATTTTAACTTCTTATTAGTGCTTTCTACACATGTTATGTAGGAACTGTAGTCTCACATAAGTGAGAGCACCCAAGCTTGAGATGTTTTGACAAAATCGACTCCACTATATTAGAAGGGGAAATAAGGTTTTGGGATAAGTTAACATGACATTGTGTGTGAAATATTTTGGATGTCTTGGAAGTATGAATAAATAATACAGATGTCAGCGGCAGAAAGATCTCTAAAATGAATTTGAAACACATTTAAAATCAGRGTGAGAAAAGATACTTTGCCTACTTGTAAGGTAACTTTATGCATGAAAAAAATCAGCAAGATAAAAAGAAAAAATTCTTTTGTGTCATGTTGAGTACAGTACAGCAATGGCAGTATTGTATTTACTCCTACAAGTGTGATGTATAAATGCACGTRTTTTAAACCAAGAAAACACACAGCCAGTGCTCCCTGTCTTGCAGGGAAGACAGTGTCAGGTGCAGAGAGACCGATCCCACCGGCAGCACCTGCGGAACCGGTGCTCCGCGGCAGCGCGGCCATCGCGGCGACATCGCTGGCTGTAGCCAAGGCAGGGGCCACTATTAGCCGTGTCCCCCTCTACTTATACATTGCACWGCTGAAACATGACCAGGTACACATGAATATTTCATACCTCTGCTYGTTTTTCTGAGTTAATCACAATTATTCTAAAATTCGGTGCAGTCCTTAGTCCAAGCTGATATTAAATATATCTAATAAAATATATCCTAAGTTCCGTTTACTATAGCAGGCTTGAACTAGCCCTGTGCTGTAATGAAAACATGCAAGAAATAATTAAGATTTTTAAGATTTTTATTTTCACGTAATGCTCGCAATTACAGGATTCACCTAAGGAATTGACTATGCCTCTGCCAATGGTTAGTCTTTTGAACTGTGGGAAATTTTCACCTGGAAAACTGAAATTAATGAAGGAAATTATGCTCATACCACCAGTTCAGTTATCACTCAAAGAGGTACTGTTTCATTTTAACTTTTATAAACATGTTCTATAGACTTTATATATGTAAGCATAAATATCTTCTCAACACTATCCTTAGAAATGCTGTTTTTCATTCCTGTTTATTTGCATAACAAATACTAAAGCAGAATTATGAGGAATAGAATATTATAGAGTCAAGTAAAGGACATTTTAAATGAAGATATATGAAAATTTAAAGTTAAAAGTGCATGTGTTCATATACAGCAAAAGATAAGGACAATGAAGATGGCACAGAGGAATTCTGTAATACAACAGTAACAGGCATTAATTCTGTTTAATGTGTGATTTTTACATTGATATAAATAGTTTCATCATCTGATTTGCAGAGCATAAAAAACTCTCATACCTGTCAAAAAATCCACAATAAAGCATAAAATCACCAATTATCTAAAAAATGAAATTGCCAAGATAGAAGCAGAGCTAAGTGTATTGAAGGGAGGATGAGACAGAGAGGATCAACAATCCCTTTTTATTTAACTGTGTGTTGCATTAAAGAAAATATCTGCACAGCTGCCTGCATTAAAGCTGTAATTTCTGCCGGGTGTGCAGGTGATCCAAACAAGTAGCTGAACTTGATTCTCTTTAACTTGGAGAAATGTCACAAGAGCTCTTAAGAAGGTGCCCAGCTCTGTTCCTCTTGAAGAAATAATGCTGCTAGTGCTCGTGGGAGAGTGGCAGCACTGCTTGAAGCACCGTGAGGAACGGCAAGCCCTGGTGACACGTTGTTAGATGGGAGTGACTTCTGCCCCCTCCAGCATCCCACTGCTGGCCCGGGCTCAGAAAATGGGAAGCAGTGTCATCTAGCAAGTTAGCACAAAACTCTCCATAGGCAGATGAAAAGGGGATACAGTCTTCTGGTAAATAAATGTATCACTTAGTTGGAGTGTTCTTCTATTCCCCTATGTTTAAAATAAACATAACTTTTTTTTTCTCTGTTTCCTGAGTATTTTGTAGAGCTAAATATGTTCATTTTTGTGCAAGTTTCCAGGTGGAGGCCCTAGACAGAGTCACAATTGTGGATGGTAATTACAGTCTTCCCATTCTCAGATGCCCAATAGACCAGGACRTTGTCCATCTGTCGGATGTGGCAAGGGCTCCTTTGGGGGAAAACCAGCCCGTTTTCCTTACCTTCCAATTAAGCAGTGTTACCAAACGTTCCTGTGCATTCCACATCTACTCACCCTTTGTCATTGGACATTAGACTGTGGGAAACATCTTCTYCCTTCTGATTTATACTGCTAGAATGATTTTGATTTATCTCTGAAGATTATTGTTGTTTAATTTGCAGAGTATAGAAAGGATTCTGGATATTCAGAGAGAAGTGGTGAAGCTGTTGGAGGCTGCATGCAAAGGGGTAAGAGAAAACTGTGGCTTCGTTTGGCCTTTCTACAGCTGTTGCCTATGTCTGCCTGGAGATGGGAGACTTAGCATGATACCAGGTTTAGTCTTACGGCACAGTGTTGAAGATGTGTTTCTGTAACAGATAAGTAAAAAATTGGCTGTTTGGTGCAATTAATGAAAATAGAATAATTTTTTTTTTCTATGTATGAAAAGACTTTCTATTTCATTATTTATATCCAAGAAGGAATGGTGTCATGATGAATATACAGTATATGCTTCAGGTTGTGCTAAGCCTCACAACACAGACAAGATGCAGCATTGAAGACATTGTGCCTGTATCACAGAAACACAGAATCACAGAACGGTTGGGGTTGGAAGGGACCCCTAGCGATCATCTAGTCCAACCCCCTTGCTCAAGCAGAGACATCTAGAACACAATATGTGTATGTGTTCTTTGCAAAGAGATATTGCTGGCATTCCTCAAGCAGGGACCCCAAATCACCATTCCTGAGAGCCCATCTTCTGTTAATAGGCAAGGTGGCAACGTTAGGGAAAAACAAGTGTTGGATATTTACAGTTCCATTACACCAAAATTCTGTCAACTTTTATTTGAAGACTCTTGTTATTCCTTGGTTTTTCATGGTTCTGGTTCCTTGTTTCTCTCTCCCTTCACTCCCAGCAGCCCAGTCCTCAGCTAGCAGACAAGAAGAAAAGCGGGATACATGGTGCAGGGAAGAAAGTTCTGGTAAGAAAAGAGATTTTCATTTTAAACCTTCAGCGTGTTACATCAGGGAACCAAAATATTCTTAAGATATGAAACATTAATTTGCATTACTAGCTTGAAAAGGTCAAGGCAAGATTTTTAGTGTTTCACAGGCCCATATTTTATGTAATAATGTGGAGTCTGCTGACTATGCCTTCCTTTCACATGGAATAATCACATAAAGGAGAAATTATTCTGGAATCCAGTAACTTTTTTAATACAGGAATGCTGATAAGTTGTTCATTTGAGCATTCTGCAAGTCTGCAGCACCAGCAGAGAGCATGTGCACACTGGAAAATTATGACCTGCAAGACCTGTGATCTCATGCTGCATCCGAACTTGGGAAGCACAATTCCCCTCTTAATCCTGCTGCATTAAATGCCCAGTTCCTGTGTGACATGACAGACAATGGCAATACGAGCCACTAGTTAAAAGGGCAGCACTCACAATCTTGCACAGGACAATATGATTTTGTATAATTTAATGATCTTTGCCTTTTTCACTTCCAAACCTGTAGTTTATGTATGAATTTTCAAGAGGGTAGGATAGAAATGCCATGCGGATTTTGCTTCTCAGCCTGGGATAGGATTATCAGGTAAGAATTGTTGCTGTTGTGGGGTTCACAGAGAGAAGATGAGCGGAAGATTTCTTGTAGTTTAGCTGCTCAGGTAACATAACAGTCTTCATCAGCCACCATTTTTCCATGTGGTTAATCCTTTATTTTCTGCATACTTATAGTAAGTTAAAATAATTCAAGATGAGCACAAAGAAGCCATGCATTAGATTCTCTGAAATACTCCTGTTCCAGTAGGAGAAAATCAAAGATGTTGGTGACAATGAATTTAAAACTAATAAAAGTGTCATGTTAGTTCMTACCAATTTTTCGTTATATTTTTAGAAAAAGAGAGAATAACAATGTAGCAGTGAAAAATTAAAACAATAAAAGTTGCAGTTACCTTTTTTTCAGCATAGCAGATCTTTAGAAGGAAGAGCTGTCTGTTCAAGTTTCCTGGGCTTTGCTTTGTAATAGTGAAAACTTAATTTCAATCAGACTCATTTTGGACTGGGAGTAATTGAATAAATTATGTTTCTGGCATTTATTGTGCAGTATATAAAACCCTATCGTATATGAAATGCTTATGTATTTATTTTGTTTAATGAACATTTTAAGCAAATTGAATCATATCTTTAGTTTTTCCTTTGTTGGTTTCTATAAAGATATATAGTGCTTTTAGTAGAATATAGCAAGGCACACTACATGGGGAGAAATCATGTGAAAACACAAATTTAAACTATCTAGCAATGAACTCAAACAGACTGCAGCATTTCTTATTGTCTATTGCAGCAATTTAATACTTCAGAAAAATACAGGTCAAAGAGATTGTCCCTCCTTTCTTACAAATTGCTACGAAATGCTCTCTCCCAGGACAACCTGACTGTTTTCTTTTAATTTTCAGTATGTGGAGGAACATTTCAGTATTCTCTGTAGCCAGATTGACCCTGTCCAGTGTAGTTAGTTCCCTAATTCTGCCCAATACTGGTGCCTTCCAACTGACTCCTCCAGTCAAACCCAGGACTGTCTATTGCCCGTTGCCATCTTAGTGCCATTTTTCTTATAATCCAGATTCCACAGATTTAAAGATTAAATTCAGTAGTTAAAAACCTACAAAATGGCTGGAAGCTTTTGCTCAGTGCAGATCTGCTTGTGACTYGTGCCCAGAAATACAGTTCTGGGGACAGGCAACTCTCCAAAAGGATGCAGCTCTGCTAGAGATGCTTCCCTTYTAGAGCATTTGTCCCCTCCAGAAGACTTGAAATATTGTGGTATTTTTCCAAAACTCCAAGGAGGCCATATCAAAATTCCGTATACTGATGACTGAAGTCAGACTGAAATGACAGGGATTGCAGTTACCACACATATAAAATACTAATAAAGTGATTGTTTCTGTTTTGTTTTTCAGCCACCAGCCATGAAAAGAATATCACACCTAGGGTGCCTTGTAACAGGATTTGATAACCTAGAGCAACCTCTCCTCCTGATACAAGCAGCTTGCAATAACATAGGTCTGGAGCTAGGAACAGACATGTACTTAGCAATAAACTGTGCTGCTCATGAATTGATGGATTACGTAAGTATTGTCAGTGGCAAAACAGATATGTTATTATGCTATTTCTGATCAATCTGTGTCAAATGCAGCAAGTTTTATTGGTCAGACACAAGGTACATAACCAGCTTTCCCTCACATGTGCCCCAGGACTATTCTGAATGAATGTATTAAGTGGCAAACATCCTTTTGTTTTTCATTATTCCATGGTATGCAAATAAAATAATTGTGTTCTATCCACATTGCTTTCAAAATGGAAGAACAAGGAACTGTTCATACTTTTATAGTTCCACCACACCCCTCACTGCTTATTCAACCATTTTATTGCACTGCACCTGTTGTTTTCTTCAAAATACCCTCATTGTCTATATATTTTTACGATAGTAGGTGTATRTAGCCTCTAACATTCACTTAGTTATGCATCTGCATTCATTTTTAGTTTGCATTTTTCAAGATTTTGAGTTGACAGATTTTACTTATCTCAGGATATCATCTTAATAGTTTTTGCCCCCTTTTCCAAGATCAATTTGTATTCTCTTTAAGTAGAAAGGAAAAAAAAGAAGTTCCTGTTCTCTTTGATTTAGTATTCCATGAGCTTCTGTATGTTTGGGTTTACTGCAACGTCAAACCTATTACTAATATCTGATATTCTGCAAAAATAATATGATAAATGTATACTAGCAAAATCTTAACCAAAAAATTATTAGTAATTTTGTAACTTTTGGTTCTGGAACTGATGAAATGATTAAAGCAGTGCTGATTCTGGCAGAATTTAACAATCTGCCTGTAATAACCTGTGTATGTGACAGCTTATGGTTTCCAAAATAACAATGTTAGTTGTGAATTTTGTTTTCTTTCTTTTTTATATTTTTTGAATGGGGAAAGGAGCAAGAAAGGCTCTATCTTATTTTTGAGCATTGAGGCTGTACTCTTTTCACATCTTAATATATTTTAATGAAGGACTAAAACCTACCCTTTTAAGTGAAAGTGCATATTTTATTTTTTTTAATGCATGACTTAATTTTATTAAGAACTTGATGATAAAACTGTGTGGACTGGCAGTGCTGCCCAGGAAATGCTGATAGAGGTTTTGTTCCCCTCTGGGAGGAATGGGACCTGTCAGAGAGCTTGGCCTGAGCTAGTTGGGACCCACAATTACTTCAGGGGAGGTATTGTCAGGTTATTACCATTCTCATTCTGACATTTTTACTTTACTTTCTAGAATAAAGGAAAATACGAAGTTATCACTGGAACATTCAAAAGTCCTGATGAAATGGTTGATCTGTATGTGGAACTGATTGATAATTTTCCTGCTATTATTGCGTTAGTCGATCCCTTAAGAAAAGAGGTAAGTTCGTTTAAGAACTTACTGCAGAGCAGGTATCCCAGATGGATAAGTGGAATATTACAGGACTTTTCCCATTTTTCTAAGGTATTTATAAGAAATAAATAAGGTAGTGTTGTCACCTGTTTTCAAGGCCCAGGGACACAAAAATATCATTACTATACAAGTGTATAATTCATTTACCTATCTGTAATTGACAGTAAATCTAAATAAACTTGSATATACATTTCATTTAATTCTTGATAAAAACTAATCTTGGCATGGATAGTATAAATGGATAGTATAAATATTTTGAAGAATCACAAGAAAGTGCAATTTTGCCTTGTATATCACTCATATTTTACATTTTTCTTATGTAAGCAAGAAAAACTCAAATTATATAATAAAATCTAAATTATAAAATTAAATTGATATATAAATGAGATAGTAAATTTTGTAGAAGAAACTAAGGACTTGGATGCCATTGTACATGCCTTAGAATCACTCAAAATAAAAAAGTGCAATTCTGCACGAATGAGATTTAAACTCAAAGCCAGAACAAACCTGTAACTAACATCATTGTTRAACAAAATTTTGGAAGTGGCAGGAAGGCAGCTTGTATTTACCAGTGTGATCAAAGTGGCATGAGCTAATTGAACAGAATACTATCCATGAAGCTATCTGGATATAAATTGATCAAAGAAACCAATTGCATAACTTAAAAATGGAATCATATATAAAAATGCTAATATTTAACGGATTGCAAAAAAGACAAAACTTAGTTGTAGCAGGAGCCACAACTCTAGCCCTCTATTCTGCAGTTGCACAACTTAACAAAAACTATTTCTGGCCGTGGACCTGTACATGAAACTCATTACTGTCTTTAAACAAATAAAGGCTTTTTGTTTTCATGTTTGGAACAAAACATGAAGAATATGAATGAAGGGGAAACCGAGGTGATGCTGTCATTGTGAAGCTGCCTGAATCAATAATGCCAAGCAGGATGAACTGCAAATTCTGCCTCATTTTGCTCTTAACGGGAACTTAAAGCTCCCGGCTCCAGTAGCAGCAGGGACTGTTTCTCTCTCCGTAGTCACCTCAGTGCCTAACCCGAAGCGTTTGCCCAGGTCTCGGTGACTCCCTTTTCCCAAAAATAAGTGCTCGAAAGGCTGCTAGGAATAGAGCCTCACACCATGGCAAAAACGGACACAAAGGTGCGTGTGATGTGTAGATGGAGAGTTACTACCTGCAGAATAATTAACGAGAAAACGTACGTGTTTTTAATATGGCATTCTGTGGACACACACACACAAAGCAAATTACMTAGTAAATTTCTTATTTCAGATTATTTACTTATTATTTAATGCTAAACCTCAATAGCCTGTGAATATTGCACTAATATCAAGAAACAAAGCTTCTAAATAATTGGAGCTTCTGTGTAACGAGAGCTTTGTTATTTGCTGTTCCACAGGGGTCACTCCTGTGGGTCTGATTTGCTGTCTTGATATGTGTCACTGAGTTTGTTTGCCTCTTGTTTAATAATTTCATATTTAATTTAATATTATGCCATGTAAAATATTAACAAATAAAAGAAAATAATAAATAGGAAAATAATAAATAGGAAATTATTTTATAATCCATTAAAACATTTTTTAAATAGATCTCAGGAATTAAATCAAAATAGCAGAACTCTACAGCTAATTTTATCTGAGATATCTAAAATTGTACCCGTGTTCAACTAGCTTTTATTAATTCCAGATTATATTTTCTGGCAAAATCTTAAAATCCAAGCAAAATGCTGGTGACGGATTTTTATTACTGGTCACTTTTAAAGTAAAACAAATGTATATGAAGGGAACCTTCATTATGAATCCAGATTAGCTTCACCTTTTAAATGTTTTAACCCCCTGAATTGGGGATTGTGGTTGTTTTTTAAGACTCCAGTTCCATATGTGACTCTGCCTGCAGGACAGAGAGCAGTGGGATAACGTGTGTCGTGCTCTGGGTGCCCGGTGTCACCTGCTTGCTGAAGATGCAGCCACGAGTGTTCCCAGCCCTTCAACGGAGCCTGACGGGAACCTGCCCAAATGCAGCGGCGCCGTCATAAAATACCTTAACCAGACCAAGGTATCAGACCTCCTAGAGCTTACTGGCCTTCTGCACGGTAAGGCGGGGAAAAAGGCTCTTTTTCTTACATTACCAGTCAATAAATAGTGTTGCCATACATGTAGATGCTACTTGTTTTTATTGAATTATAGCCACTTCCTATTTTGAAAGTGTTATTATTTCATAAGAAAAGGAAATTCCCGATTGGGCTGTCAAATTTCTATTTAGGATTTTAAAGCAGAATTCAGGGGGTTGATTCTAGCAAACTAATACTCTATGGATGTTTCGAATATGGGTGCTCTTTGATGCTACAGCCATTGTATATTTAGACATCAGAACACGGTACATTTAGATATCAGAAGTAAACAAAATAAAGCAGGTGATAGATAAATGAGAAATCTGAATGTTGACTAATACTAGGTAATAATAAAAATTTTTAAAAATCCAAAATATTTTAAATTACTATTTAGATTACTGACTAGATATTATTAAGCTTTTGTAGTGACATTAGTTAGTACTTGTACAGGTTCATATAAAAATTTTTCTTTGTATCAAATTTGTCKCTCAGCTATGCTAAGAAGACATTTGAAAATATACAGAGCTGCATCCTAGCTCATAGAGCACATTCCCAGAAAGAGTGACCAGAGCTAAGAATTAGAATAGAATATTAGATACAGCCTTATCCGGGCTGGAAAGAAACAAAAACAGCCTGTTAATGCTGGTATTGGAGCAAACTATCACAGTTCACTTTTTTTATGAGACGCATTTTATTGGTTTTAGTCCTGACTGCATTTATCCCAAGTAGGAAAAAAAAATAAAAAGAGTTCAAATAATTTCTATGTTGAATGTATAAAAACATATACTAATGAAGGTTATACATTCCCATTACATATAGGTCAAAGACATATTACCACATTAGGAAGTCCAGATGGAGAATCTTCTGACGATAGCCTYGTGGATCTGGTAAGTAGTGAAAGCTGCTCAAGTGCAGAACTGCCAAAACGCTGCTTTTATCACGGACTGGTTTTTGCTTTTATCAGCGGCTGGTTTTGGGGAGAAAGGCTGTTTCTGCGTGAGAAAGAAACAACCTTTTATGAAATGGGCTTTTTCTGGAGAGTTGTTTTTTCCCCCCACAGAGAGTTAGTCTTTAGGACTGAAGAGAAGATGCAGCAAAGGTGCCAGAGCAGGGGGTACATTCAAAAGTGTATGATCTATTTTGTTGCATTGGTTTATAAAAATGTGAATTACTTGAAATATTCCTGAATAGTAATCATATTTGATATAAAAACTCTGAATGCTGATATATATTTAATCTGTTTGCCTTAAAACAAAATTTGCAAATATCATTTTGTAGGTCGGTGAAAACTTTTGTTTGCATGCAATAACTCTTTGATTCATTAACAGGTTTTATTTCTACCAACAGGAGCCTAGAAAGATAATGAGATTGTTAAGTCAGACACAGGATACCATGTTAAATAATTAAGAATGACTTCACTTCCCAAACTGTACAGCTTTCAAATACCCACTTTCTTGTCTTAAGGCTGTTGGCCTGGGTGCCAAGTTCCTCAAGTTGGGAGGTCTTTCCCGTGGAGAAAGGGTGACCAAGTACAACCGCCTCCTCGCTGTAGAAGAAGAACTGGCCAAGAATAGCAGGCTACGTATGAGCTTCTTTCTTACTTTGTTTTCAGCTTGCAATGAATGCAAGAACAAAGATTGTAGGGCGAGTGATTGAAGCGGCACCACAGGAGGGAGACGGAATCAAAAGACTATAAATAAGTGCTGACAAAAAAAAACCTAGGATAGCACTTGCCACAATGTATATTGTTGTCCTAATGGATTATCTGTTTACTACATGTTAAAATAGGCCCCTTCTTGAGGAGTAGCCTACATTAAGCTTTGGGTGTTTTTTGTGTTTTTTTTTTTTCCTGCAGAATTAATGGGTTAGAGTCTTTGGAGCCCTTAGTGCAAAAGAAACAAATAAACAAATATATAATGCTAAAATGTAATCTTAGGGAGAAAAAAACCCAACTCCTTCAAGCCCCTAAAAATATATTGCTAACAAAAGTTCAGTTCACAGCCATTCTGTTAAATGTGCAAATCTGGGGAAAGAAGAACCTATGACCAAAGTTCCTTGGCCACTTCTGTGCATCTTTTTGGATTTCAGAACCTGAATCTTCTTTTTACCTCGTTTTCTACTCTGTTAAATGCTTACCAGGTCATTAGAGCCAATCCTCATTTGCTCAGGTATCAATCAAGAGAGAATAATGCCTCCTTTCTGGAGGGGAGGCAGRGAGGCCAGGGGGCCTTGGGGCAGGATGAGGAAGGAAAGGAAGGGGAGTTTGCACAAGTTAATTACAACTAAGAAATGGAAGAAAAATTAGGTGAACTATTTACCAGCTTGTTTCTAGTCATTTTCCACGTTTGATACATARGACAGCTACACTTGGCATTGCAGGCACAGTAGTTTTATTCTATTTTTATGCAAAATTCTTATTCGGAAATATTTTTTACTAAGCATCTCATGCACATGCAGAAATCCTTTCTAGGAAGACAATAGTTTTAGACGATGCTTTCCAAAAACAGGACAGCTGATTATGAAGAGTTACAAACTTTAACTGCCTCAGTACCATTAAAATATAACCTATTACAGTGGATATAGCCTGAATAAAGGAACTGGGGTTCAAGGCTGTACCTCGCAGAGGGCGGCCCCGCTGCTGCGCTCCAGCCCCCGGGCACCCAGAAGGGGCCCTGCCAGCGGCCACCGCGGAGCCCCAGGACCCACCAGAGCGGCCACCAGAGCAGCCGGGGCACCCGCGCCTTCCAGAGGGCACTGGGGAGGGAGGAGGATCATGGATCTGGGGGGAAGAGCAGTGAGAAGAGAGGCGGTGTGAGCCATGGGTGCAGCAGCTGAAGTGGATCTTTATAGTCAGGTGGTTGAAGGCTGGGGGGGAGAAGGAACTAGGCCCAGGTGGGAGGGGGSTGTTTTGTAAAGGGAGGATGGACAGACCCAAACAGTGTGAGGTTCAAGAAGCCCAAGAACATGTTTCTTTCTCTTCCATTTCAGGGTATGAAACAAGCTTTGAATTCCTCAGTTTTGCTGAAGAAGCAGAGCCTGAGCAGCTGTGTGAAGAACCCCCTGRCCCAGGGCAGGCCCCGCCGCCCGCGCAGCCGCTCCCACAGGCCGAGAACCTCACAGCCCAGCTTGCCTAGGGCAGCACCCGGGCTTAGGCTGGCCAGGTCAGGGAAAACAGTTAGCAAGCAGTAAGTTCAGTAGGAAATGTATATAGTGACTACTCATCTATACCAGTGCTTTGAKTAGAAATTCCCAAAGGCTTTCACCCACTAGCTTCTCCTTTCCCAGACTCCTACTGGGACTCTTCCTTCCAGCTGAAACCAAGCTAATCGGGCAGTGGTTATCGCTTGAAAATACCATGAAATTCTAGGCTCTATTTACAACTTGATGAAACAAACACCTCTGTGTTAACTCCCAAAGTAAATGTTTGTTTTGAGAAAGCAGAAATCTCTCTCCATACAAAGAACAAGCCATTGACCAACAGGAAAAAAAAAAAMCACATTTTACAAAAAACAAAGGCCTTGACTGTTGTGTTGCTCCATCCCCCCACACACCCTCAATGCTGCTCTTAGATCCAGCCTAGGAGGGAAATTTTGCTCCAGTTCTAGCCTCCTATCCACACAAGTGCATCAGTGCAAACCCCAAATGCAGGGCACAAAGCTGTAATTTGCATCAATAGGAAGCTGCTTCTGCCTCAAGCAGGGAATAACAAGTCAAATTCACAAGGGCTGGGAAACTTGTCAGCGGTCTTTTTAATAAGCAACAAGGAAAAGATAAATAAATTGTATCATAGGTAACAAATAGTTCAAGTAAAAGAAGTGCTTCATAAAAAACTTCTGGTTTTGTATTATTTGAACATATTAAAACACCAGTAGTAATCTGAAGGAAATACATAGGTAAAATGGCAGATCGTAAATTCAGTATAACAGATATCAGARTGCAAAGTTAACCAGCAGAGAGGGGGAAAACACAGAAATTAAGATATTTAACAAAATGAGAGACAAATTTCCCCAAATATAGGAATCATACRTAGTCCAGCAATGAGATCAAATTCAAGATCTTCTTAGCAAACATGCAAAAACACCAAAAAAGAGGTGAAACTACCACACTCGTTACTATCATTTTATTTTTATGAAAAGCACCAGACAGTTGCATGCAGAGTCAAACCAGCAAACTCGGAACACTCATCCTGTAGCACTATCACTGTTTCAGATCATTAAATAAAAAATAATCCAGATGCACTCAAGTACATGACCACCCAGTTTCGGATACAGCAGTCTGCTTTAGGTAGATCCCTGATTAATTTGTTTGTTCATTATAGAATAACAAGCTGCAATGGAATGGGAATTGGCAGTGTAAAATGCTGCAGCTTTCACACTGTCCTCACAGGAAGGAAGGGCTGAGACAAATTGGCTTTTATTTTCTCAAATAAATAAATTAATGCTACCCCTTTATACAGCACCCAGAGTGATGACTTGTTTCTTGGTGCCACTGGGTGCGATCTGGGAGTTCTCAAACTGCTGGTCCCCAGCAACTGGTGCCACGTGCTCTAGGTGTCCCTGCTGGGGCAGGGGGTTGGACTCCATCATCTCCAGAGGTCCCTTCCAGCCTCAGCCATCCTGGGCTTCTGTGAGCTCGGAATTGTGCCGTGGCTAAACCCCAGGGGTAGCCACTCCTCACAACTCTTGGGATCCTGAGATTTTTTTTTTTTTTTTTGGTTGTTTTTAGTGGTTTTTGTTTTTCAGCACCTATAACTCCAGTTGCATCTGATCTAAACCTTATCACGTAACACCAAAACTCGGCCGAGGAGAACGGCCCTCCCTGGAAGAGCTTCGGCCTCCGCTCCAGCTGTGCGCCCAAAGGGCTGCCCGTGCGAGCAGCCCTGCCCGGGGCACCCGCCCACCGCGGGCACCTGGGGTTTGTGCTTTGAACTGGCACCGCAGAACGGAGACCTACAAAACCTTGTTCTTAAATATATGTCTTTAAGGCAATGTGTCTCATTATTGATATAACTCCCCCATACTAAGGATGATTTTTGTGTGTGAGCCCTTTAGGATCTAAGCCAAAGCCCATTCAAGTCAGGAGGGACACGAGGGGCTTCCAGCAGGCTTTAAAACAGACCTTAAGAAGTTCTTTTTTTTCCCCTTGAAAAGAATTATTAAAAAAAAGGACTTTTCAAACACAGTTTTAGAAAAGAGGAAAGTGACAGTATCTAGGAACATCTTATCTATACCAGTGAAATGAAAATACAAAAGGGACCAAGGAATGCATAGTTATTTAACCCATTAATGCATATAACAAAACTGCATTAAAAAAAAAAAAGACCGTTTCAATTGCTATTATTGAAAACTGTTTGGAGTAAAGACTGCAGGCCCTAGTAACACCCCTAAGCAGGATTCAGATTCCTCAACGCTACAGCCGTTTGGCAGAACAATTAACAACTAGAACTGTCTGTGTCTTTTATTTTCTCCACGCTCGTTTCTTTGTGCAGGGCTTTGCTTTTCTGCTCGTTCCTTTTGCGCTGATGTAGCTCGTTCTCCAACTGGCTGCTGGTGGAAACAGGATCTAAGACTACGACGGCCTCCGGCTCTCTCTCAGCGGTAGAAGGTTTGCTTGTAAATCCCGTGTGACTAGCTGACCTAGAGGGGAGAGAGAGATGTCCATGAATCCAGGTAGCAGCCACCAAAGGGGGCATGGAGAGAGTTACTCTGGGWAGCAAGCCCCTCAGCTCAGCTCCCATGGGAAGCCTCCCTATGGAGTCACTTTATGCAACTGCATTTACTACCCAACACGCAGATTTTATTCTTCTGCCTACACGTAAGGAACGGCYTCCACACTGGTGCTGAAATGACACTGTCCAAAGGAAAGAGTTGAATCAACTACAGGGTGGGAGAAGAAGTCCATGAAGTGGCTCCAGCGGGCGTGGAACTGCCACAATCTTGGTCTGAGGGTGAACAACGCAGAGAAAAAGAGGGTGCCCTTCAACAGTCAGAGCATGGGGCTGACAGCGCTGGCTCCTGCCTGCCTAGAAGGGTTAAAATGTAGTAACAAATAATAAACACGTTAAAAAAAAACACACAGAAACAACAGGAATATCTATTTCAGAAAGACTTTACCCAGCTTATTACCAAAGCAATGGGTGTATCAAATGAGATTCCACGTGCAAGCTTTAATTACAAGGATCGTCTCCAACATCAGAACTTTGGTGAAAATTAATTAATTCAGAAAAAGGTGTTACTAGATCCAGTCGCAGACTCATTTGCCTATCATCAGAATCTAGTGATTTCATAAARAAAATAATGCTTATTTTATGCAAAAGTTGCCAATCATCGCGGACACTACAAGGTGGCACATTCTGAATGTTGTAGCAAATTAAACTTTTTAAAGCGGTATAACCAGAAGAGGGTTATTTTAAAAAGTGCTACCTCTGAAAAGCTGATTGCCCAACACTATAAAAATGGTCAAAGCCATAAATGCCAAGTTCATTTTTATTTCACTTTGGAGGTAACTATCTTTCAAATCCCAACAGCTGGACTATTTAATACAATCTGGGGAATCAAAGTATAATTCTCCGCCGGGCTCCCAGCGGGGAGTCTGCATTAGTGCATGGCAGCCTTCCAARCACTGACGCACGGCCCAGCGCGCCCAAGCCCGTCTCGCCTGTAACAAAAATGGATAAAGCGGCAATCATATTTACCACCTTCAAAGGCCACAGAAATGAAAGATGTCGATATAAAGTCAGTTAATGGAGAAAACTGGTGATTAAATCAGTGTTTCGGGCATAAAAATAAGCATTACTGTTCAGCTCTGTTTTCCTAGCGTTCCTCTCTCCAAGCCCTTCCCGGCGCCGCYGCTGCTGCCGCAGCAGTGCCGTTACGGGCGCTGGGTCCTGCTTATCACGTATTCCCACCTCCTTCCCAGCAGCGTGTGGGGAGCAGGACGCGAGCACGGCGCAGCCTCGGTGCAGGAAGGACCGTCGTTTTGGCGGCCTCTCCAARGGCAATTCCGGTGCTGGGAATGGAGCCGGGGAGGGCAGCGAGCGCAGCTGGGAGCGGCCGCGGCAGCCGCGCGCAGCTCTGTGCCGGCGGCCTCCTTGGCCAGTGCTGCTCAGTAGCCGTGTTCCTCCCCTCGTTAGGCCACACTTCGGGCACCTCGTACCCATCCGGAACTATTGCAGCCCTGCTTGCATCGTATTCTTATCACTCAATACACAGAACTCAYGCTGCAAAATCCAGGTGCAGGTGATGAACCCCTTAATCATATGGGATATGCAGGCTCCCACGTTATATTGTGAAGGACGACTTGTGACAGGACTATCGCAAGCAACACAATCCCTTTATATTCATAGGRGCTAGAGAAAATGTAAAAATCATGACTTCGGTGGTGGACCTGTGACCTGGCGTTTCTGGGCCTTCTGTAAGTAATTCACAACAGCAGTGCTAAATGCAAGGATTGGACTGTTAACTGATATTTGGATTTTCTTTGTTTCCACACATTAATATCATAAAGCTGGCATTACTTTTACCTTGCTTCGTATTCTATTTATGAAATCATTTTAATATATTTCCATCAGAAATCAGAATTTTAGSTAAATACAACACATTTTTCTGACAGGCTTGCCCTTCCATATATAACTGCAAAGGCCTAAAGCCCACCCAAAGAAAAACTCCATATGAAAATCCATGTTTCTTGCACCATATTTCAAAAATATTGACAAAACAGGTGTGCAACAGGTGGACAAGCAGTGCCTACAGGCTATACAGAATGAGGTCTTTACTAAAGAAGAAAAAATYTGCAGAGCTTAGCATGTTTCAAATGGAAAGATTAAGGTCATACCAACTGCAACACTGGTGAATTTAGCCCATCGGTTCCTCAGGTCTTTCTTCCTCCTCCTGACACAAGGAACCTTCCCCATTTTGGGGATCCCTCTACTCAGTCTTGCTGAGCAGAAGTTTGTCAACAGAGCAGCATAACCCAATTAACTTTAATAAGATGGAGTCAATCGTGGGAAATTGTTCTCATTTCAGGCCATCTTCCTAGAAAATGCTCAAAAAAAAYGGGTAAATTATCTTAAGTGAGGCATCTTGAAGAGCTGCCATCCACACTGAGGGTCAGAGCACAGAGACCACACAGCTTAAGCAAAATACATGTGGCAGCTGCTTTAAAAATGAGACTTCCAACTTCCCAAGCATCCCGTTGTTTGCTCCCTGTGTTGTTCCAGCTAAATTGCCGCTGCTGGAGCTCTGCAGTCCGGGGGGCTGCGGCTGAGCCGCTTCCTGTGGAGCTCGCCGRTGATTCCGGCCTACTAAGATTACAGCCCGGAGAAGGAAGACAAATCCTTTAATTGTATAAAATCATCAGATTAAGACTAACCTCCTCTGCGGTGCTCCTGTTAGCAGGAAGCTCCGCTGCCCAGAAACCAAGTGTTTACAAAGCGCGGGGGAATAAAGGAGGCTGGTGGGGCTGGGCCCACCCTGCCCTCAGGCCACAAGGAGCCTCCCGCCAGCAGGCCCCGCTCCTGTTCCCTGCTTCCTTGGAGGAGCTGCCAGGGAATCAGCCTCACCCTGGGCCAGACATGTCCGGGGACACTCGCTGAGGGCGCTACCAGCATGGCCAGGGCCTGCGGGTGCTCCTGGCGCCGCTGCTGCAGCCACGCGCGGCTCTGGCCTCACCTCCTGCCTCGGTCATACCTGAACTGCTCCTACTCGCGTCCAAAGCCTCCGTTTTTCTCCTGGTTTAACTTCTCTCACTGATAAATCATCGCTACATGGGGTTCCTGTGAAGCTTCAGTGTGAACCCATTTGTTCCCGTTGTGGCCCATTTCCATAATCCCTTCTTGAGGAACTAACCCCGGTGTCCCAGCTGATGCTCTCCTGACACTTGAGAACATGGGCAGCCCTATGGGCGCGTGGAGTCCTGCTCACACCAAGCRCTGCAACCCTCATCCCACCAGCACTACGGATCCATCCGCCCTTACTGGGAAAGGAGGCATCCAGGATTGAGCTCCATGACCTGACTTCATGCAAGCGCCCTTCACAGACACCTTTTCAAGACTGGGTCTTTCCCGCTTTCTGCACAAGAACAGGCGTGCTTGGCAGCCACTAAACATGAATAACAAGAGCTGGGTAGGGCTGTGAGCATTTAAGAATCTCCGAGTTTTATTCCTTCACTTAGGAGCCTTCAGAAACGTATGGTGCAGCAAGGAGAAATGCCTTATGTGTGAGTAGCTGTAAGGTTTTCTATAGGAAGCTATGCATGAAAATCTAGCTGCTGAAATGAAGAATAAACACTGCCCTGGAAGAGAGGCCTGGTAAGGGAGATGCTCAAGCCCCTGGTGCAGGAGGTGAAGGGGGTGAAGGCTCTGCCTGTTTTCAAGGCGTTGAGAACGCTGAGACAGCTCCGTGGTTGCACCCGCACACGTGAGCAAGGGCAAGAGGCACAGAAAGCCACGGGCAGCTCTGAAGTCGGAGCCACCTACGGCCTCGTTGCGTAACGTGGAGTAAGGGCAGCTGAGCAGGGCTTGGRAGGGAGGCGCTCTGTGCTGAGGACTGACGGCCTCATGACACGTTGCAGGGGCTCAGCAGGGAACTGCCCGCTTTGTGGCAGGCACTGGGGGCTGGAGCCCATCCTCTGCTAGGGTTTCACCCTGAAGGAATCCAGTTTGTGAACCGAGACCACATCAAAGCATGGAGAGCAGGGACAATAGGAGGATTTGCTTCAAAAATACGCTCTGGATCCAAGCGGAGCTATTAACATAGATGCACCCAGGGAAGCCTGGAGAACTGCTTAATTACTGAGCTAAGTTGTCAGGCATGTAGACAAACGAATTTCCTTCTGATGTCTGCTTCAAATGAGCTCTTTGCTGCAACAACCCTCTATGCCCTGGAGTCTGGAGACGGCTCCTACCAAGCTCTGCTGCAAAGGGCACCCCGGAGGAGGAGAGTGGCTGCATTTCAGCACAGCGAGGAGCATCCCTGTTCCTCCCGATCCCTGCCGGCAGCCCAGCAGTGACAGGAGTGGCGGCACCTCCTCTCCCTGGCTGGAAAACAGCCCTGGAGGGCGAGGTGCTGCCATCAGGCTACTTTGCACCAGTGGCTTCGTGCCGCGCGGCCCAGCCGCACCGAGGAATCCGGCCCACCGCACTTGTCTTAATGCTCTAAGCAGATAAATTAAAATGAAAGGTGTCTTTTAGGATGTCGCTCAATAGGCAAGCTGCAAAATAAATGCAGCTTCACGTATGCTTTTATAGCACGTAACAACTGCGACTGTCAACACAAGATCCTTTTCACTGTCAATTCACCACGTACTCTGCAAGACCTTGGGGCCTGCAATTATTTCATTTCCTTTCTTGTAAATGCAATTTCCACTTAGTTTGGTGGAATAAAAGGTAGACAAAAGGTGGTAGGAGTTGCTATATTTTCTGATTAAGGTTGGCTGTTTGAAATAGTTGAAATACACACACTACAAATGCAGTATTTTTCAGAAACAACCTCACCTTTCTGTCAGGGTACTAGTTTGAGAAAATGCAATAGCCTTATTCATCTCAAATTAACTGTTGAACATATCTTCATTTTTCTGATTAAATTAAAATGAAGATCTTTATTTTAAGGATACTTAAATGAAATAAAAGGGGAAAATCTATGATTGAAAAAGGCAGTCTGCTTTGAAAACCCAGTGGAAATTACATAAAGCTGCAGTGCACAAAGAAGAAACTGGGCTCTTTGACCATGCAAGAATAAATGATAAAGGTACCTTCAATAGAGTAAAATAAATATCACTTAATAAAAATAGATGTGAATCTATTTRTCATGACTTATTCCTTTGAACTAAGCAATGGAGATTTGTTAGAACTGGTAGTGATGTTMTTTCTTAACTGGTAGAAGAGGAAATCAGCGGTTTAATTAGCCACAATTACATTATTCTGCTGATTTGTCTCATCTGTTTCCTTTTCTTTAAGTGACAAAGTGACAGACGTCTTGGCAAGGGAACTGGAGCAAGTCTGCAGCCTCAGTGCAAAAGGAGCTTCGTATTGTTATAAAACAAACCCATCCTGCGCCGCAGCTCTCTGCGACGAGTAGCAGGGGGGTTGGACTAGATGATCTCCAGAAGTCCCTTCCAAGCCCAACSGCTCTGTGGTTCTGTGAAGTTCTTTTCTGTGTAACATTCACAGGTTCTAAAGGGAAGAGCAGCCTTATTATRATGTCYAACTTCTGCCTCCAAATATGACTGTGAATTATTGCAGGAATCACTGATAAACAACAGTTCATTAATCCTGTTAAGCAAAATTGGTGAGAGAATACTTCCAAAACGCACCAGCTAAACAGACCTGATACAAAAATATGGCTAGAGATCCACATTTTACTTACTTCAATGTAGCCTTGGAACTTGTGCTACCCTTTAATTGGTCAGAAGCAGACTCTGAATCAGATTCTTTRCAGCTGAACCCTGTTTCCAGCTTGTTTAATGCTGCTTGAACAGCACTGGCTTCTGAGCCCAACACAGGCAGAGACTTTGATTCTGATGTGGCCAAAATTCCAGTGGGATCTGAAAGCAAAGACAGGTTAGCACTTCTGTTATGCAGGCTGACTGGTCTGGGACTGACACGTAAGCACAAGAGAATTCCAGTTAACTACAAAAAAAAAAAAAAAAAAAAAAAAAAAGGATTTTAAAGAACAACATCCAGTGCAAGGGAAGTATCAAAATACCCTATTTGCAACTTTTGTCCTCTGCTCCAAAGTTAACCCATTCTTGTGCTGTAAAAGCAGAGCTTGCTGTGCTTACACCAGCCATGCACCCAGTTCCCTTGCAAGGGGATGGTAAGAGCTGCCGCTGACACAGCACAGCTGAGTCACAGCTTTTCAGTTCATCTGGATTGAGGGCGAACCCACCTACAACAATAACTAAAAAAAAAAGGGTCTGTTCTAAAACTAATGAGTAACTAATTAGTGAACTSTTTATCTACCAAGTCCAAGCTAACTGTCACAGTGATGTTACCACCGGCCGTGTCTGCCTGGACCCTGGCAGAGCTGGTGATGGCACAGCCTGTGTTTCCATCCTGGGAGGACATCAACAGGCTCGCAGAGGTGATGGCAGTGAACCAGAGCTTAAAAACAGCAGCTCCTCACTCTGCAGCAGAGGCTAATTCAAAACAGCACTCGTAGGTTCCCATGCTCTACTTGCCATTACTTTGAAGAGTGCTTTCATGGGAGCCTGAGCCTAATAATTCTAAAAAGAACATCYAAATTCCAGTTAGGATGCAGGCATGCAGGGGTGTAAAAATCTTGACTGCGGTATCTCTTGGAGAAAGCAGGGTTGAAAAAGGACAGATGTGAAGGGGATGAGAGTGAATGTAGAAGCAAGCAGGGTGCTACCTACCAGCTGAAATGACAAAGGTCTAGAAGACACAGCAAAGTTTGCAGAGACCCTTAACGCAGGACAGGGACTATGAAGGAAAGAGGCCGCTTACCGCCACTGTCCTGGTCGGTTGTCACTTTCCGGCGCCGCAGAACTCGCTCCAGCTCCGTTTCGCTGCTGTCTGTTTCGAGGGATTTTAAGCTTCGAGAACTGGTGGATTTGTTCAGTGTTTCCTATAGCAAGGAACAGGCATGAAAGCACTCTGTGCATATTGCACCTTGCCAAACATCTCATCTGCACAACGCACATCAGCAGCAGGATACAAGAAGCTTTTAAACTGCAGAAAAACAACTGCAGTCCTAGACCAGTGTGCAAACCTCTCCCTCTTACTTCACAGGGAGCCCCTGGTGCCTGATCTGTGTCTCTTTCCCTTACCTGGATTGGACTAATCATCCTTACAGAGCTGATATCAAGCTTCACACTGATGCTCGGGATCACTAACGAGCAAGCTCTGATGTTTGCAAAGGTTCTGCGACCTTCCAACTCTTAAAATTAAATAGATCTCAAAACACTGCTAGAGCAAGGCTAGTCATAATTAACTGTACTGGCAAAAAGGCAGATTTCACTGTTCTAACATGTTTTACATTGCTGTTGTTTTACACTGCATGTTGCACCCAGGTGTGCAGACACAGACTGGGGAAGTCAGTACGAATTAGACTGGACCAGATTAGGCCACTGGTTAAATGGTTTTCTATGCATACAAAATAGAAATCCATGCCTTAACTGTCACAGCAGCTGATGGGGTTTGCTGCCTCCTGATTCAGTATCCAGTTGACTGTAAAACTTCCCCAGATATCTATAATGCAGTGGAAAATTTGGGACCCATGTTCTATTTCAATCTCCCTCCCAGCCTTGCCATCACTGGGGATCCCCAGGGAGGCTGTTTATTCTGCCTTCCCAAGGGTGCCAGACTTGCMTTTGAAATTGCTGTTCTGTTTATACATCATGAATCACATATTCTGTATATCTTTCACTGACAGATATACGTGCATAAATCCTGAGCAGGGATAGCAAACAACAAAAGGAAGCTGCATCTCAATTGCAAAAGCAGTGCTGCTTTCAGGATTCTGGGAAAATAACTCAAACTTTCTCACTCCCTCAATAAATTAAATTGTTTTCTTTGGCAAGTATTTGAAATTTAACTGAGCAGGTGCATTATTAATRAGCAATATTATTCAGATCTGTATTAATGATGCATGTATATGAAAACAACATGAGCAATGAGCTGCTCTAACTGTGCCATTTACAGAACATCCGTGTGCTTTGTTTGCAGCAGCTATCTGGAGGTCCGCAGGAAAGGCCTAATTAGCTGGGTCACAAACACAATGTTTACTCCACCACCTCCCACCCCCGTGTTTGTTGTCTGACTGTGCATAATGACTGGTCTCAGGAATAGGCTGGAATTGGATTTTATGTGGCATGTCTTATACTGCAAATAGCCTGCAGGGCTCCCAAGCAACAGGCTACATGCAGCAACACAGTGACTACAGGTCTCTGTCTGCTCCTCCTGCACTTTGTCCCAGGAGAGAACAGGGGCTCAAATCAGTTTCGCCAAGAACCGTATCTACCCTATGTGCAGTTCAGCGCATTTACTTTGAACTAGAGTTATTCAGGTCCCTCTTCCTGGCTGTCCCCATTTTGGAGTACCTGGAAGGTTTCCAAAGGACCATCTGCATGTGCAGACCAGCACATTCCTTGTAGGGGCAGAAATAAGCCATCCTGAATCAGAATGAATGGGCTACCAAAAAATGGGCTTGCCAAAAAAATGTTGGCAAGACCAAAACCATTCAATGAACAGGACCAATGCAACAAGTGGAGGCTTCAATCCAAAGCGGCTCTGCAGCTACAAACCAAAATGCTAGTGCAGAACCTTCCAATGCTCAGCTACTTTGCACAGATGGCCCTGTCAGCTGTGTGAAGAAATTAAAAACAATACATAAATGACAAGTTTGCTTACCAGAATCCCTTTCAGTTCTTTCATTGCACTTTCAGAGGGCTTTGGTGTTTCTGGCTGTAAGCAATCATAACACGAGCATGTTAAAAGCAAACCCAAAACCCCACAGGCTTCCTGCTAATCTGACCTAACTGCAGCAGAACACGGCAGATTTTGTGCTTGAGGACCCAGGTGCACAGTCATATTTTGTTCCTCTGCTCTCTTCTCCCGTGGGCACGTGTAACATTCAATCCTTTCCATTATATGGGTAGAGAGAAGAGTCTTAGCTCAAAAAGTAACACYATAAGCCACAGCCTATACATTAAGAAAGATTAACAGGATACTATTTCAAGCTTTTATGAAGACAGKAAGTGTTATATTACAGTAGTATAAGGAGGAAACAGTGCTAAGTACAGCAGCCTTGGTGMTCRTTCAGTGTACACCACCCAGTTATACTCTTGGTGCTTTTTGTCRTCCTGAGGCTGTTTGCTTAGAAGATAKTTGCTTTCCTTTTCCAGGAAACTGGGCATTTGTGTGCTGTTTGATTCACTTTTTTCCTCTTCTGCTGCTACATCTTCAGCAGGTCTGCTGCTCTATTTTGTAAGATTCAAAACCAAAGAAAGCAAACACATTCTTTCAAGTGTGTTATGGAAAATCTGACTTATTTTAAGYATAAATTACTGGACTTGGCTAGTACAATTACTCTTCTATTTATTCTGACCTTTGTTTTAGGCCTGCTCGCCTGGTTGACCGGCCTCAGATGAACTCCCTTCTTGATTCTGTCCATCATTTCTTCCACAGCTTGTCTCTTCAGATCCGTGACTTCCTCACCTGTTCCAAAATCATATTACAGAAATGAACTACAGAAAAATAGTCCAAAGGAAAAAAGCATCTATGTTAAAAACAAACTTCCAGGCTTTTGCTCAGCTTTACTAAAAGCATAAATAATATCCATAAATATACTTTCTTATCCCTGTAAGTGGGCTGTTCACAGAGTCTTTCTTACAGAACCACTATCTTATCCTTATTTTTCCCCACCACAAAGAGGCACTTTACACAGTAAGGTGCATTTGGAAGTATCTACAAGGCGTTCTCATTTTCTATGGCAGAAATCAACAGTTTTCTCTCTATTTATCTGGATTTCTGCTTTCTGGATTCAGGGCTATTGTGATAGGTGCTATCAGCTAACCTGTCACCATGTGTTCCAGGATGCAGTGGCAACTTACTCCTGTTGAGCATCCAGCTGTGGACTTCTCAGACATCAAACAGCAGTGCCTGCCTAAGCCTGGAAAAGCAAAGATCCTGAAAAATGCAAAACTCCTATAACTGTTGGGACTTGCAAAAGCTACCGCACTAAAGCACCAAGGAGTGAAAAATACAGCTCCAGTTCTACCGTATATGAAGCTCTCCATTTATTAAGAGAAATTTCTATAGCTTCATTAACATGGGACAAGTTGACAGCACCCCACAGTGAGGCCCATATCTAGGCTGTTAAGAGATTACAAATATATGTCTCAAATTTCAGACAGGTTTAAAAACCTTCCTGAAATGAGACACTGACAGATCAAACTAAAAACACCCATTTAAAGAACGTGGCATTGAGTTAAATGGCAAAACTTTAAACACCATGAAAGAAAACGACTGATTTCCAAAAGATGCAGTATCATGACCACAAAATACTCCATTGAAATGGGGTGCTGTGTCATGAAGCTAAACAGTACCTGTTAACTTACGAGTGTTTGGGATAATGTAACAAAAGACTCAATATGCCACATAGTAAAAGCCTATTTAAAGCAAAATCATGGAGAGATACGGTGATTGCTATTCAAAGCTGTTATGTAGTGCCTTATATAACAGAAATTTTAAATAGACTTTTGCTCGCTCACTTGTCAGGGTACTATTGATGATTCACAGAAATGCAGTTGCTGTATTGTAAGCTGATTTAATGTCAGGCTTTAATTTCACAAACAGGCTGTTTCAAATATAAAAGACTAATCGGTGGTATGCAATAGAAGTCATTCATTCAATGTCCTTAGCAAGGGTCAAAACAAGCCCCAAGTTCAATACAATAACTAGATCAAGAAAGAACTTGTCCCTCTTTTTTTTTTTTTTTTATTTTAAGAACAGGTCAACTATTAAGAAAAGAAGCAATTTATGCGTGATTGAAGAAAGGTCAGAACTGTTAAAGTTTTCTAATAAATAATGAAAGAACGGGGAGCAGACTCATAGCAAATTTCACAGCATTTCCTGCAATCACTGTAACAGTCTCAACAGAAAGGTGTAATCAAAACATCTCAGATGCTTGAAATAAAGAAACTTTATAAACCAAGGTGACATAACTGAGCTTGAGAAATAAGACTGACTCTTCATCACAGATCTAGGTGCAGAGTCACTTCTGTTACTGTTTAAGCCAAATAAGATTGTTGGTCTGGGTAAGACTGGTAACCAGTTGCCAAAGACATTGCAAGGGCCCAGCCCAAATCACTTCATTCCTCTCTCCCTTTCCCCAAAGTGCAGAAAAGGGGACACATTTTTCTGCCAAATTTGTGAGTGAAATCAGCTCAGCAACAGACCTGAGAAGCATTAAAGCCAGAAGAAGAAAGATCAGAACTTCTTTTTTGTTACTGTGACCGCTAGGTCTGCTCTAACGTGCTTGGACCYGCAGCCTCAAAGGCTGCTCATATTAAAACACGTATCTGGAAAAACCGAACTGGCTGCTGATCACAGCTGACTTGTAGAAGCAAAAAAAAGCTCCTCAAATTTTCTTGGGACCTTGAGGAAGTTTGCAGTATCAAAGCCACAGTGCCAAAGCTGTCACCTAACACCTCAGTTGGGCCTGCAGTCACGTTTCTGGCCCACAGGATGGATGCCTACCCTGAGGACATGGGTGGTGGTGCTGCTGCTGCAGGCAAGGATGCCTCCACCTGCACTTCATTTGCACTAGAGTTCTGCAGTACTTGGGAATAACACRCGTGCCTTTAGAAGGAAAAGAGCCATACCTGACTCCTGCTGAGGAGGTTTCTCCTTCTTGCTCACGTTGGTGTTGGAGTGGGATCTCTTACGAATCATTGACATGAGAGACCTTTCAGAAAAATGAAACTGCGGATTGTCATTCTGTTCCCTAATAGACACTCTCAGAATGAGCTCTGAACACGACAGGCAAACAGCCTGCTTGCTACTCGAGTAAACAGCTACTTGCCAGAGGTTCATTTAACAACTTGCAAAGGCAGGTGGATGTAGTGAATTACCCTCCAMGAGGCCTCCCCTCAAAAAGATATTTTTACTTCTTTTTAACAAAGACTAAGCATAAATCAAAGCATCTCAACTCTGAATATTAGACGATAGTACCTCATTGTGACACATAAATCAAAGCTGCCCTGGCCTAATAAAAGGAAGGAACTGCTGCTGATATTAAAGTACACTTAACAGACACTTAAAAATGAAGATCAGTAACTCCTCTCCAGCTCCAGTATTTCTGTTTGTAATATTCTTAGTGTCAAATAGTTATCATTAAGTGTAGTCAAAACATAAAAGTCCATGCAAGGAAATGATTCCTCTTAACGCTCATGTATAAGCACTAACGGAAATCTAATGTGTCATAACCATTTTTCACTAAGTATCAGTCATTATAGTGAATGAGAGTGACCTCACTGGGATAAGGGGTCAAAGCCAGCACCAGAAAAAAGCAGCACTCGGTGCCTGTATTTTAAAACAACCTTTATAGACATGAACCTCCCTCTCAATGCCTGAAAAAGTACTCTAGTTTGGCTCCTACAGGGCTTAAAGTGTGTTGTCTATCCTGAGTGGTAGAAGACTTAAAAATTTCAAAAAAAAAAAAAAAAAAAAAAAAAAAATAAAAATAAAAAAAAAAAAAAAAAAATTTTTTAAATCACAGTTTAATTCATAGTATGCACCAGTGAGAAAGAAGCTGACTACTAAAACTACTTAATGGAGGTAAAAGGAGCCAGTGACTAAACACTATTGTTCAAAAACCAATACAAAACCAATTTGGCTCTAATGACCGATATATCGTTATCGGTCACTGTTTTTTATGGAGCTTTGACAAACTCTGTCTTGATTTTGGTAATTTCACAAGACCGCTCAGTGACAACGGTTTTTCTTTTTAAATCATGGAAGCGGTTGTGGGAACTCCGTAGAGTCAGCACTTCCATGACCAGTACCTGACAGACAGGGCCGCACAGTAATCCAACGGATCCTCTGCTTCAAAGGGATATTCCTAGCAGCACCTTCAGATAAGCACTTCTCAAGTTTGTAATTACAACTATCAGGTGAACTGAGAAAAAACTCGCATAAGTTTAGAGGAGACAGACATCCCTCCTCCACCAAAGTCACAGTCTAGGCCAGTCATTAGGCTTGGGAAGGGAGACATGGTTCAAAATTGGTCCGAGTGTTGGGTCTGTTACCCACTGAGGCAGARAGTGTCCAACTGGCCAAAAAGGAAGGACCGAGTCCCCAAGGTCCCCAAGACAGGGAAAGAAAACCTTTGTTCTTTAAAGTATTTTTCCTGGTTGAATGCAAGCTCATGCAATGCATTGTGCTTCAGCCAGAGCACTAACGCTGCGACTCCTGCTTTAGGCTCCTACCGGATGGGGTTGGGAGGCGGCGGCGGCGGCAGCGGAGGGGGTGGCGGTGGAGGCGGCGGCGGCGGCGCRGGGTTTTCCGACTGCTGCACCCGCTTCTGAAGCTCGTCAACTGTGAACGAGAGCAACATAAACCAGAGTGAGATCCTCTGCCTCCCACATCTGCTGCTGCAGTCCTAAAAAAATATTCTACGGGTTTAAGCAGAAAAAGTCCCTAATTAACCAGAAAACAAACAAGACCAATCCACTCACTTGCCAGGAATTCCTACTTTTTCGCAAGGCTTTTCACCAAGAACAGTATTCTAGAGGCACAGGATACCTATTAGGCTAGTTATCTATGACCTGAAATACTTTTGGAATTAAAACAATGCTCTTCCTCACATAAAATTCTACATATAAAATGACATGGCAGGGAAAAATGCATGACATTAACCTTGAAGTCTATTTTCATTTTAAAATTAACCTAGAAGTCTATTTTCATTTTAGAATTAACTAATCAAAGATGAGGAAATAAACCATTTCAGTTTCTAATCTTATTTAGACCTGCATCTTGCTGTTGGACTTTAGCATCTCCTCCCACCAAAACCCTCAAGCTCAAAATCTCAAAGAATTTTTCTCCCATTATGTCACATTCCTGTCTAAAAAGTATTGAAAATATTTACATTTCTGCACTTGAAATGTGTCAAATGCAACTGACTGGGAAATGRCAGAAAGAAGAAAATGTCTTAAATTTCCTCCTGTTACTAAAACGCTTAATAGTTGCTTGTGCATATAGAAGAATTCAGATAGAAGTACACAATATGATTTCCAAAGTGGATACAATTCTTCAGTTCTTGAGATGATGGATTTATATATTAAACTCCATTTCAAATTAAAACTACAAAGTTAAATTTATTGAATTAAAGCCTTTAAAATTTAAAGTAAAATACAGTTATTTTAAACTCCAAATATAATCTTTACATTAATAAATTAATTTTAAAGGACAAACATCTGGAAGCAAAGGATCTGCTGTGAAATTCAGATCATTTCTAAGATGGCTGAGAGGAACTCAGGTGGCCTGTCTAGGTTTATTTTTGAGGATGGACAGTGTAAAACCCAAACTCCAAACAAGTTTTCCAAGCAGGACTTCTAACAAGCTTAAAGGCAATCCTGCTGGTAGGGATTTGTTTCAGAAAGGCAAAGCTACTCACTGAGTCTTAAATAAGGATAGGGGCTTCGGTCTCCTTTGATCAGGGTGCAAATTCTTTCCTGAGCAGGTATCGGTACTTAAGACCAAGGACCTCCTTGAGCTAAACAAGTGCTGAAAGCCAAGGCACATGCAAATACTGCTCCAACCACAATCCCACACTTCTTGGACCAAGGCCACAACACTTTATAAAAGTGATTTTGAATAAAGAGCATTAGGCCACCAATTTCCTCACTGAAAAGGCACGCTGCTGCAAAAAGGCCAGGCACTGCACCGGTACACATAACTGCATGAGCATCTGAATGGCAATAGTTGCTCCTTTTAAAATATTTTGTGAATCATTTGGGTCTGTATCTCTGGGGCTTTCGTTGAAATCCTGAAGACATGCACAAACAGTGCATTTTCTTCTTCTTGGTCACTTAATACAGAATAAAACATGACTGTAAGTAAACGGATTTAAAAGAATAACCCTCACAGATACAAGCCCTAGAAGCCCACTGAATTCGTTCAGCTAATTCCCTCTGCAGGGTTCTGAATGCAGTATTTACCCTTGAAATATCTGGAAAAAAAAAATCAGTAAAAACATTAAGAAACACAAGTTTTCTCACATTTCAATATGTAGGGCTAAATTATTCCTTCAGTCTCCCTGGCACCTTTTGTCACAAGTCTATTAAATATTTGGGTAGCTTGATAACTTTGGGGTGTTTTTTTGTCCAGTTCATGCAACACAGATTCCATCAGACAAACCATCCTTCATCTTTGCAAAGGAAGGACTAAAGTTTTGTGATTTTATTTGCTTTTAAAACCATAAATTTACACTGAGCACTCTTTCTCTAACATAGAAATATGCATATTATATATATATATGCATATATAAGGCTCATTGAAATCTAACATTTCATATTTGTAAGACATTTTAAAAGAATTATTCTTTGGAGTACATTCTGGATATACCCGATTTGCAGCTGATGACAACTATTAAACTTAGTCTTGTTAAGTACAGGTTTCAACCTATACATCAGCAGTTGCTTTTTGGGTCTCAAACAACACATATAATTCTCGGTGTGCACCAGCTCAGCCAGCCAAGTGTACTTCTAAATTGAATTTCATTACATAATTTTACCTGAATGCTTTAAGTCTCTAGCTTTTTCCTCAGAGTTCTGACACTTAAGCTCTAGTTCCTTTTTATCTTCTTCCAAAAGTTCTAGCTGCTGTTTAAGACGACTAATCTCCTTATGTAGTGCTTGATTTTCTAGCTTCTCTTCCAATTCTTTGACCTGCAGTGGGCAAACAACAGCATTCATTACAATAAAAGGTATTTTCTGTCCTTCCCTTTGATGAATCAGGCACCGTAAGTCCTAAAAATATGAAGCTAGTAGTGTACAGTCACCTATAGTTCCCACAGAGAAGACAGATTTTTTCAATGACAGTTAGAGAGATCTTCCTGAGAGAGTTTGAGAGATTTTTCCCTTTTCTTTTTCACAGAGTTGCTTCCTTTGAAGAAGCTCCTTTTCAGGACATTTCTTCATGTGAAGCAGAAGAATATTACCATTCTTGTTCTCTCAGTGACTGTTTCCACTGACAGTTTGTTATTTAAACTGTCTTGTCAAAACTCACACAGATGTCAATGGGTGAATTATGGAATATAATTATAGAATATAATTATGAACTATGGTTGAGAGGCAGCATTCAGGTGTAGAGTAATAATCATCTCCAAAACTCATTAAATATATACAATTTGGTTTAGTCTTGAAGATGACGAAAATTAGAAGTCTTCTACAAACCGGTGATTATTTTCCTAAAAGTATTCATTCAAAAGCATGAGAAGTTAAATACAATCCTAGTGTTGTTGGATTCATGAAAGCACATAAAATATTTATATCTTTCTAACATTGATATATTAACAAGAGTTAAAAGAATAGACCTCACACCTAAGAGGAAACTTGTTTTTTATGCTGTCACTGAAGCAATGGAGATTTCTCACAGTTAAAARTCTATCTAATCATCGCATTTTAAAAATATATTGTTTAGATCCTATCACTTCTGATCCTCTTCTACCATTTTGCAGCACTTAGCATTTCTCTACTCCAATATATTTGGCTCTGCCATGTACTTCTTTAGCAAATGACCAGACTACAAATATGCACAGCCCATCTCTGGCCTCTGGTCTTTTTAGTTTATCCTAGAAGAACAGTCTTTATACTGCTCGAGGYCTGAAACATTCTCCTGTCACACCTTCTTTCATGTAAAAATCTTCTTAATGCTTATAATTAAACTTGGAGCTTTACAGGCATCCAAAATAAAATACTTACTTAAATCAGAAACCTCAGCCTGAAGGTTTTGCACTCATGTCTTACCAGTGACCCAGAAGAAGGGGATCATAATCTTCTCTCTGAAGCTTAGTTTTCAGACTATAAATACTTGTGGAGGGACAAGAACTGAAATAATTCTTAATATAGCAAATACATGACAATTCATATCACTCATTAAGTTCAGGAAGCTTTCAAGAACTTCTGCATGAGCTATGAAACTAATTTTGTTTTACCTTTTGTTGATGTTGAAGCCTCTCTTCCTCTAACGTATGAGTCAGTTTAGCATTTTCATCCAAAGCTTTCAAAAGCTGTTGATCGGGAGCAGAATTTTGCAGAAGCAGCTGACTTTGCCTTTTCATCTTGTTCTGTTCAATAAACATCTGCAAACCAACAAACAAATAAACAAAAAAACAACACAAAACAATAGTTAGAGAAGGGCTAAAGCCTTCCTAGGGAAAAAAAAAAAGGCAACTGGAAACAAAAAACATGGTGTGAATATGGGGGGAACGTGAGAAGGTAGTTTAAGAGTAAAATTAACAGGAGCTAAGCTCACACTCAAGRGAAGCAAGCAATTATTAAGAGAACAACTTGCTGCTACACCTGAATAACCTGCATGCCAGCTACCAAGCATTCAGAATCCGAGTAAATCGCTGAATTTTGCTTCCTAGAAATGTGAACAAATCTGATTCCTGCTCTGGGAGCTCTGGCAGATTGAAAGAGCACAGGGTTGAGAAGCAAAATATCTATGTAGTGACAGTCTCCTCAAAAACACCAGCACGCTCTGCATGAGGTGCACGTACCTGAGGGTTACGGAGGTATCAATGACGGAGTGGCCTTGGAAAATGAATTTCTGCCTGTGCTTGTGTAAACAGCGTATGCACTTACCTTGGGAAAGAGCATAGTGGTGCTATTTCAGCCTTTTACTTCTGATGTTTGTGTTCTTTCCTCTTCCCCAGTTATACTTTTGATGCAGAAAGTGAGTGATTAAAAAAAAAAATCAAATGCTCTAGAGACATGACATTGATACAAATGATACAAACGTCACATCCCTATGCTTCAGCTAAAAAAAAAAAAATCTTCCTGTCAGCACAACTCCTCAAGGAATTTCTCCTCCCTCCCGATGGGCATTTCAGGTAGGGGGTCCCCCCAAGCAGCAGGAGCRTCCACTCTTGCTGTGCCCATTTTTCCAATAGACACAGGGCCTGAGGGAGGGTAAGGTTTCAGAGGGGTGGGCAGCACTGAGCAGACCCTGACGACTGAGATATTCCCTCAGACTGTTCAAGCACAGTTCCACAGCACAACAAGAGCAGGGGGTCATAGGAATACCATTTTGGAAATAGAAACACTCCACGAGATCTTGTCAGCTTCCCATACTATTAATTCCCGAGCCCAAATTACAGACACTACATGCTGAAAAGTAGTTTCTTTCTGTCCAGTACCACTGCACTGCTGTGTGCTTTTTCCCYGATACAACTGGATTTGAAAGAAACCTCAGATAATTCAGGTTTGTAGTCAGTGTCCTACCCACCGTTTGGCATCACTTCAAGTGAGCTTCCTTGGAAAGCAGCTCCCTGTTTGCACAAACAGCAAGAGAAGCCTGTGGGTCGGGCTGAATGTCCCTTCAGGATGTGGCCTGCRCGACGCTCCGGGCAAGGAAGAGGGTCGGGATGCGGCCTGACCACCAAGAGCGCCAATAACCAACATGTGGTTGGGCAAAGCTGCTCCATGAGGCAGGGAACAAACAACTGGAAGTACTTGATGAAATGGAAACAACGAATACCAGCTCTAAGACTATTGTTCATCTAATAGATGTAACTAAAGTGCAACTCTCAAACCACTTGCATTTGTCTTGTCTTATGCTGGGGGAGCAGAACCAATTGAAAGGCAACAGCAGCTCAGAACCAAAGCTGGTCACCCAGGCCAAGCTGTGAAGGTTACCTTTGGACTACAGCTCATCCATTTGTTTAGTATTTTATCTTCTCAAAAAATTATTAWAATAAAACAGCATCTTTGAGTAATTCTACTTCAGAAAGACACAGGTAAAGAACTCCTCAGCACTGAGTAAAACCCTGCTGCCCTCTTGTCTGGAGAGAAACATCTCTATAGAAAGTCTTCTTGTGTGTGAACATAGCAGTTTATCTCTTTATTCACTGTGAATTTTCAAATCAAGAAGGGGAGCATTCTCAAAAATAGTTTCAAGTCATAATTTCAGGGTTTTTTTGCCTTTCTGTCCAGCTTGAGGGAGCAGATCCCCACTGCTTCCTTTTCTTCTTCTCCATCAGTATCTGATTCTTTCTGCAAAAATGACATGGTACCAAAACAAATCAAATATCATGACTTCACTATATACTTCGCCAAAGGTAGCAAATCCATTTTCAGGCTTACTTAGGAGAAAATGAAAATTTTTCTCCTGAGGACCCAGATAAAAACCTTTTCATTCAGAAGTTTCCTCAAGATGCCCTGTGCTTTTGATTAGCTTTATAAATTGCTTTCAGAACATAGCAAATATATTTCAGCTTCGGTATGTGGGAAAGTGTCTTCATCACCACAAAAAAAAAAAAAAAAAGAAAGAAAAAAGAAAGAAAATCCAAACTTTATTGTCTATAGCAGAAGTCTCCAATCTGACAAACGGGAATCAGTTTCTCATAACAATTCCCATTTAGTTCGGAAATTCCCTAGACACATAGTTGAGGCACCATCACATCCTACATTGACAGCACAACACTAAACAAGAAAAATATGGCAGACAGAGATAGAAGTGATGGCAAATTTTTGAGAGGTTGCTCTGTTTGATGTGGGAAGAAAAAGGTACTTAGAAATAATTCTAATTTTAAATTAATACAATCAATTCTTCAGCAGGGTAGAAACCTGACTGCCTGCACAAGCTTGAATATTAATTAAAAGGACTGCTGAAAGGGCAAAATAGCTACTAACAGGATTATTTGGACTAGGTGGAATTTAACCAATTGACAGATTAGTTCTGACTTTACCACCTGCTAGACAATTATCTGCAGAATATCCCAATCAATGCTGGAAACATAAGCCAATGCCTGAGGAATCTATTGAAACCACAACTGCAACTGAAGGCAGAGCACAAAGGAAAATAGTTTGCTTATACTTATAAATGTAACCTGACAAAAATCTCCAAGCACTGTGCACAGCAGCTAAGTATCTTTGCCTCTTGAGTTTACAAATGGAAGCTCTGAAGCGCAGAAAATCTGGGACTTGGCCATGTTCCATCACGGAGTTTAAACAAGAACTGAGGAAAGGGGGGAGGGAAGGGGGTGAAACACCRAAAATAAAAGTTTTTTCCCTTGACCTCAATGGGGCCACACCTCATTCTCAGACCCCTGCTCTAACCATTACCCTACAGAGCATTCACTGCAGCTGTTTTTTGTTTACACCAGAGTTGAAAAAGGAATTCTTCCTCATTAAAAAAGTTAGAAAGCAACTCTGTTAGTGTCAAACCCCTGGGAACTCTGATCCTCATTCAAGAAACGTTCAGGGTATAACTGGATGCTTTACAACTAACGCTTCTCAAAACAAGGTCAAAGAAAATGCTTTAATATCCMTACCTTGCCACATTTCCATCTATAAGTTGACTGGGCACTTGCTATGCGGACTAAACTATTTTTCTTAGTTGAGGCTTGGAGGGTGAATAACGTTTCAGCACAGAAAAACTGTTACAATAAGGTAATTATTGGTTCCATAAAGCAAAATAAAAATCACCGTCAAACAGAACTCCACTATAAATGAAGTAACAACAGGCACATATCACAATAGAGTCCCACTTCACAAGTCTCACATATAAAAGAGGACTTCAGTCAAGCTATCTTTTGATTCCAGTTTCAAATCCATGGCACCGCTGCTCCATTCACTCCACATGCTAGTGAGGAATCAATAAGTCATCTTTTTGGAGTGGTATCGCTTTCATTTACATATCGGTCAAAATTTAGAGGAGGGAGCCTTTTGTTATACGAGTACCCTGTGCTCAGGCCTGTGTTCATGCCTGAAATGAGTCCCAGGATCAAGGTACTTGCATCTTCCCAAAAGAAAAGGCTGTTTAAAGACTGTGCTGTGGTGTGGAATACAGGGTGATCTTACCAGATTAGCACTTGATAGGGCACAAAGCAGCATTAAATAGAGGATRTTCTCTGGATTTATATGGTATAAATCCAGTATTTAGTTCAATGATTCCTAATTATGAAAATATACATATACATTTTAATTTTGTAACTATTATCTGCACCATATTATCCAGGACATCTGGGCGTGCGAGCTCCACTGCATATAAGTACTAGAGCAGAAATAGTAGTTAGTGATTTTTTTAATGGAAGTATAAGGCGAGAAGAGAACATATCTCATTAAAACACAAGAAACTTTACCCATAGTCCAACCTCATTTGTTCCACGATAGTYTGGACAGTGACCTATAAAAACTGTCTCTACACTAAGGCTCAAAGCTGCCCATCAAACAGTGACATTAGCCCAGTCTGAGTTCCAAAACCTTTGTGTTCAAGTGGATTCATATGTGATTGAAGAGCTATTCAGGGGAAAAAACCTACAACAAATAAATGGGTTCTGTAGCCACAACAATTCAGCACACACTTCATTTTAGGTGGTATTTTTCTGATCTGAAAATGTCTCTAGTACTTACATTCTTCCCTTCCTTTTATAAGGTCTATGTCCATTTTAAACTAATAAAGATAGATAGCATGCAGTTCCTTTAATTTTCTGGGGAATTTATAGGCAACTTTATAAAGGGAATATTAATAATTTTTATGCATCAGAAGAATTGATTCCAAACTGGGGCGGTGGATTAGATGAGCTACCTGTCCATTACTTGCTTCTCATAAAAGAGGGGTTGGGGCAACTATTTTAGATGTGGGAAGACTGGAACCTCATCAACGTTGTGGCTTCCTTACAAAACACAACATAACTGAACAGGCTGCTTTGTACCAAAGGGTTTGTCAAAGTATAACACTTCTTCACCTGTGAGGCACAACTGCCCAAGGCCCAGGAAGAAATGAATATTTATTGTTATTAAGTCTTTTTGGCTTTGCCATAGGAGAAATATGAAATATATAGAATAATACAATCTATAATGCCTATGGTCTTACAGTATTTAGATGTCATGTAATGCACTCAGAAATTGATCATATCCCACATAAAGGAAGGAAACCTTTTTACTTTTTCCCCAAATAGATAAATCGCCTGGGAAAAAAACCTAAAACTGCTAAGTAGTTTCCTAGAGTACCCAAACATTACCATTTCACAAACTCTGTTCCTGGGAGAAAGCTTGATGAAGCAGATTAGTCTTTTGTCATGCTTCAAAAGTGGTAACATCGAAGCTTAGAAGAATTGAAGTACTAACCCCTCATCATGTGTCTAATTATTATTTGCAGTTAAGTGAGCTGAACTGCAAATTAATTATCTTCAGACACCAGTTTCTGTCAAAGTCTCCTTGGTAATGCACATAGTATATGGTACTTGTACGGACAGAGCTGCTCCATGAGTGTTGGCTGGATTTGCAGTAGCCCCTCACAGATGCAGCATGATAATGCAAGAACCCTCACAATTAACCCAAAAGGTCACAGATACTAATGAAGAGTTCCTTGGGAGCTCCTGCCTAACACAAGTCATTGAGACAACCAAATCCATTGCACAGAGTCTCCTGTGTACTGCAGCCATCTGTAAGAAAGAGAATGTAATTCTCCYGACGTGTTACGAATGGTGGCCAGCTTCTCTCCTTCAATCCTGGAAGATTCTTTCCCGAATTAAATAATATGTCAACCAAGCACTTGCACTGTCTCATAAGGAACAGAGGCATTTTGAAGCAAATGAGTTAAATGTAAACATGTTCCTGTATAATACCTATTTAAAAACCACACACACCAATAAGCTTCTGAATGCATCCACAAATATTGAGAATTAGGGGAAAAGAAAACCAAAAAGRTGGACAATGCACATCATTGACCAGGGTTTCCTTGAATGCAGGCATTCAGTCTTCCAAATGGCAAGCTGTTTATAATACTTAGGATGCCCCTTCCTTTTTCCATGCTGTCATTTGAGGAAAAGTCTGTGCTATTTGTAGAAGTGAGAGGTACCCTAATAAGTCTGCCCAATAATTTGGCATTGCAATTCTATTTACCTGAGGTACTGGGAAAAGAAGCATCATCCCAACACTAAATCTGAGAGCAGACTGCCTCTTCCCAGCGAGATTTCCAAAGCAGCTTCAGGTGCAGGGGTTGTCTCCATGCCAGCACACACGACACTAATAAACAGTTCACTTTACAAAATATTGTTGGAAGGCAAGATATGTGCTTAATAAGCCATGTATGCTAGATTATTTTATTAAACTCCTGGAATTTTTACATTGCTAAAACTTTCAATTTGCATCTCTGCCCGTGTTCCACCCCTTTTGGCTTGCTTCGGCAGGATCTTTTGTGTTTTACTCATCTTTGTGCAAGACTGCTTTTCAGGACTAGCCTCTTGTATTATTGCCATGGCCTTCAAGATACTCTCTGCCTTCCTTTGTTTTCTTATAAACTGCTTCATAAAGAACCGAGAGATCTGAAAGTGTCTCTTAAAACATGACACTAGAATTCTAGTTAAGCTTGCCAAGATTCCTACATTAACAACCCTGCTTAATTCAGGTAGGTACAGACTTTTCCATGCCCCCGCCCCTTACACACTCTATTTATTTAGTTCTTTTATGAAGATTCCTCTACTTTTCACAATGGATTGTGACTCTCTTCAAATCCTCTTTCTTTCTTTCTCCTTCCCCCTCTCCACACCACAGCTGACAATATTTACTCAATTTCTTTAGAAACTCTAAGAAGCATGAATTCCAATGTTTCAGGTTAGATCATTTTTGATTAATTAAATATATATTATAGCAGTGCCAGCCGTATGATTATAATTAAAGCTGCACTGGATTTTTTTTTTTTTAATCAAAAGCTCTAATTTTCAAGTGTTCTCTCACTCTTACGTGTACTTGCTCCCTTCCTCTCCCCTACTCCTCGTCTCTTCCATGCTCCCATCTGTGTTCACTTACACAATGTGCTCGCCATCCCATTAACTATCACACCTGCATTCCCATTTACTCCCCTTCTGCAGCAAATTCTCCTCTCCCATTGGAAGCAGAGGATTTGACTTGGAAATAGAGCCCCTGCAATCCCCCACTGAGGCTGCAGTGCAGCTCCAAGCTGAAAACCTAAAAGGTGAAGCCACAATAGGGAGGAAGGGGTTAATCTGAATACAGAGGCCAGCTCCTCAAGTTAAGGGTAGTTTCATATTCCTGGATCCCTTCTAAAGCAGGATATCCAGCACTAAACCATGAGTCCATATTACAGCCAGCTAAGATGCTTATCTAGGCTATTTAATATGTCACAAATATATAATACAAAAATATAATACAAGAAAACTATGAATTTGTTCCAAAAAACTGGGCCTGCAATGACACACACATTACTCAAAGCTTATTTCCTTTCTCAAAGTGATGCAAACAAGCTAGTCACAAAGCATGAAACACATGGTGTTACCCTTCACCTGAGGCCGTTTCTTCTCTCCACACTGAACTGGGGTGGAGGGGGTTGAAAAATTKAAATATCCAGAAAAATTTTGTTAATTAAAGAAACATTTTATAGAAACAAAGAAACATATGGCCAATGAAAGGAAGAACACCAGAGTACTGTGATGATTAAAAACAGCAGAAGATCACAGCACATCTTTAGGCTAATCCAAAGAGCTCCTATAAGAATATTCAATGATCTCCAGGTGYCAGATCCTGGCCCCAGCCCTGCAATACAACCTGAGCAGGGGGACCCCTCTCCTACACACAGCTCTGCTGGCACAGACACAGCTGTGAGCTTGGGCCCGGGTGTCTTATGGCTCAGGTCACTAAAGGGACACTGTAAATGTTAAACCAGGCCAACAATAACTTTTTTATTTTTAAAGTAATCTGAAGTGCTACTAGTTCTCAAACACACCTCAGAAGTGCCTTTGTAGTCACATGCTCTGTGTTTTAAAAATATTTCCAAAAATATTTCTCAACAGCAAGGCACAAGGGGATGAGAGGTGAATATATAGGAAAAGATTAATGTAGGTCTATAAATCACTGCTATGATTGTCTCCTTTTTGGTCAGCACACCTAAGAGTAAAGAACTTAAGGACTGGAAAGCCCAAACAAAAGAGCTGTCTTGTGAATCTGCAACCACAGCAACCCATATTTTTGGAAATGACAAAAAACTAATGACAAAAAAAGAGCAAGAAATACTTGTTTGCAAATAATCAGCATTTCTTTGGCACTGTAATCAACAGTTTGCCTTTCAGTTTATCACTCAAATACAAAAAAAAATTTTAAATAGCCACTTTCAAAATTATATAGCCYTATGCATAAATATGACAATTCCGCATCTAAAAAAAAGCATGCCTTTAATGATTTGAAAAACAGCTTAACTAATGAATTATAAGTTGTTTTTACCTAGGAGATATATGCATACAACCTTCTGCGTCAGTTGATGAACAGAAGCCCATAATTGTTCTACTCGATTGTAGATCTACTTGTTTTATCTACTACTTGAGTAGATAAAGCAAAGCAAGAGCACGAGATGTAAAACAGGTACTGCAATAACGCATGCTGAATGAATACGCGTAACAGYCTCAGCTATTTGTTTTCTGAAGATATCAGTTCTGCAGACATTACAGACAACAAACACCCCGGGAAAACTGCTAATAAAGCAGCAACGTCTGCACAGTCTCAAGAGGTTTAAAGAGACAAGTTCATTGTCAATACAGCTTTCATGAAAGTACGGGTAATGAACAAACCCAGGCTTCTTAAAATTTAAAAATAGAGCAATATTCTATTGCACAGACTGGTAGCAGTCTTGGTAAAATAGCCAAAGTAATACTCAGTAGATATAGGCAATATTTAACCACCTTTGGTCTCCAATAAATGTTTCTATTCATTTGAATGGAACTTGCAGATCTCATTTTTATTTCTGAAAAACTACAGAGAGCTACAAATGTAGCTACAGAGAACTAGAAAATGCAAATGGCCCAGTGACACTGAAGCCACAACAATAGGAGGTGACAAGGTTTCTCACCAGGTGCTCAACAGAGGCTGCAACTCACAACTCCATAAAACTCGAGTTCAAAAGAGGCCTTATCTGAAGTTTGGACATTTCATAAATCGTTCTTCCTCAAGGGCTGCTCTTCCACATCTCTTCAGTCTCATCTCCATCCCCAGAATTTAAGAGTTGGAGACATTTTAACCACCAGCACACAATTTTCATTTTTATCATTTCTTTTTCCATTGGAGAAAAGTGTCAGCTGCTTTAGCTTTTGGTCAAGTACTGCTAATATTCTAGACACATGGCAGATACATGGCAATACTAACAGCCATACGCAGGAGACTGATGGTATGTATATATGTGCAAACTATATAAAATTAAATTTACTTCAATTACTGGTTGACTAATGAAATGATTAAAGCTTCTGTAGTGGAAAACTGCTTTGTTTTTCTAATCTACAGCTAAAGTATACCATGAATCTAAATGAGCGAAGAGCATCTTAATATGCTTGAATTCGCACTTACCTTTCCCCTTTAATATCAGGATGAATAAGAGAGAGGGCAAAATCAGTGCTGACTTGGTGACTCGGTGATTTTATTTTATTTTATTTCTTTTTAAAGAGAAGCAGCAGCAAACAAAAAGCAGTTAACACTCAGAAAAAAATCGACTTCCTGAAGGCTAAATATCTCCTTATTTGCAGTCAGGCTTTCCAAATTCAAAATCCCCCTCACAGCAGACTTTGGATGTTTCCCTTATCTACTGGGAGTCAATATCTTTCCTAGCATATGCCAGAAAAGATACTTCTCTCTTTCAGCTTGAATTCTCTCTACAGATGTTACTCCAAAAGCACAAGTTAATAGCAGCAGAATATTTTACTTTTTTTTTTTTGAGCGCTAGTTCACATATTTTTCAGGAAAAAAGAAAAAAAACAATCCTGAATTGCATCACTAGAAAGGTAGCTTCCCAATCCCAACTGCTACCTATTCTCTATTCAATTGTTATGCTCTCTCTAAATTTAAAGCCTCTCTAGAAAGAGGGAAAAAAAAAATACTGCTTTATAAATGCTGTTGAAATAATGCACCCATTTTTCAGATGGGGTACAGATGTTAAACAGTGCACAGGAATTCAAAATACATTTTGTATGAAAACTGGGAACTGAACCCAAATCATCTAGGCTGGCAGTTTTTTTCCTCCCTAACTGCAACATCTTCTTTTAATGTCTTTCTTTTTGGCCTAACTCACCTCTTGTGCAAACGACTCTGCTTTCTTCCGCAGATTCTTTTCCAGTTCAAAGTTGGTATGAAGTTCTTCATATTCCTCTACTGCCAGCACAGACACTGTAAGAATGAAACAAAACCAGGAAGTAAAGAGAGAAATGGGTAACAAAGCAACAAAACAAGAATAAAATAATACTAGATTTATCCAGATAGGCTGCTATTCCCCAGTATTGTGAATCCTCATAATGAAAATATAACCTAATTTTATTTTTTCCACCTATAGTCAACATTGCAATATTTTTTCATGCTTTGCTTTAAACCTTCCCTTTATTTTTACAAACAATTACAAGTATAAGCACAACAATAGTGCTGCTATCCTGCACTGCTGGGCAATGTTACTGAACAGCAGTGACTGCTGAATTCCACATTAAAGTGTCTATATCCCAGAAATGGGCATTTTGACCAGATCCTCACCTGTATGTATTTTACACCTGTGTGTAGGTGTATAGGTAATCACTCCATGCCTACCTACAACAGCAGGCACTGTAGCACTAGATATTTTGCTATATTTGTTTTCTTACAATAGCATATTATTTTTGTGTTCTTTCACTATTTTCTGAAGTATTAGGCAATTTGCTTGCTCTCCGCATCTTTACTTTGTCTATAAATGATAGATTGGAAACGCTTGATGCTTAACTCAACAAATATGTCTATTCACTCATCTCAGCTTTATTTTGACATTCAGCACAATAACATAAAGTAAAATCAACTCTACAGACAAGCCTTTTTAGCCGTATAATTACAAAGGAAGAGTAAAGTGATTTTTCTACAGATTGCTATCTCTGTCTCTATCCCTTCTYGCTGTTTTGCACCACATGCTTCTCACCTAGCAGTTACAAGATTTTAAATCTAGAGTGGAAAACAACTAAAATAGAAATACTGCAGAACAAGTAATTTGCAATTGTCTGGAGTGCCCATAGGGCCAAGTGCTACAGAAGTCATGACCTCTGATCCTGAAAAAGTTTCACCTTTCTTTAAAAGTAGGCAAGGGAAGGAAAATCAAGCTTAACTTCTATCGATTAAGCAGCTCATTGGAATAGCCTCACCTCACTCAATGTAGCCAGGCATTAAATCCATTTAGCTGAGAAATTTGACTTTCTGTTCTGTTAAATCAGCATATAAGTGATCCTCYCTCCATCCTGACCAGCAAGTTACACTGAGTCAGTGATCTACTTCTTTCTAACTTGATCTGGAACAAGAAGCTTCAAGAAAGTAGGGCAGTTCTCAGTTGCCCGTGTTTAAGCTATGCTCACACAAGCAAAGCCAGCCCTGGGATTTGTTTCCCCAAACTATATAGGCTGAACAGACCTCTGCATATAAATTTTTAACAGGTCTCAGTGACCACTGACACTCTTTTGATAACATTCAGCTCTTACTGGCTGAAGGAGAATTTTCCTAGTGAGGATACTGAATTTCTAAAAGTGTCCTGTAAAAGCCCCTTGCTTCTTTAGAGACAAACATACAGATTTTTACAGTTAAGTGCAGTAAGGGGCACTTTATACAGTGGAAAACACATCCCACCCATCTGACTCTCAAAATTTTCTTTTAAAAAAAAACATACTTTGAAAGATTTAAAAGTTAAATTCACCAGCTCTGATGGGAATGTAGTGATTACACAGCTCCAAGCCATCATCCAAGAGACAGAGAAGGCAGGCCATGTCTGTTCAGGGTGCAGCAATACACATCGGTAGCTCATTTGAAACACAGAAAACCACTGCCTTCCATCGCCAGGACATTGGGACCTATCCTGATATAAACCCTCCTCCTTGAGAAACAGGTATTAAAGGGTCACTCTTTTGATTATGCCAAGAGGGGAAACAAAAAAATTTCAGAAACCTTTCAACCGCCACACCATCTCATCAAAAACCTCTCCAAGCTGGTCTATCTAATCTACCTAAGTGTCCTGTTTTAAGACAGTTCAAACATTGCCTATCACAGGCTAAAGCAAGAGGTGAGGAACGAACACTTGGCCAAGGGTTCCTGCTCCACTGCAAATCTCCAACTGCCAGGTCAGGCCTAGAGTCCCTAGAGTCTCTGCTTCTCTAAGGCAATAWTGGTACTGCACCATCAAAGCTCTAAAGACTGTCTTTAAAACAAACATAGAGAAGGAAGAAAATTTAAAAAAATATATAAAAAACCCMAAAGAACAGACCTCTGTTACATTTTTCCAACAGTTTTTGTTGCTTATTAACTTCTGTTGTCAAAACTGCTTTTTCTTCTTTCAGTTTATTCACCTAGRAAAAAAGCAAAGAACAGATCAAAAAGACTTTTCATTAGCAGCACAGGATATATGGCACATGACATAACACGCAGTAGTCTCTGCTTTCAGAAATTCACARTCTTAGAATCAGCTTGATATTAGGACTTACAGTGGAATATAAGGAAGTTTTACCCCCAAATTATGGCCCTCCACTTCAGACAGCGTTAAAAGCTTTTGAGTTAATGCCTGACGTGGGGCTCTCATGGCACGTACTGGTCGCAGCTGCAAATACAAAGTCTTTGAATCTTTCACTATAGTCCCTGATTAAAAAGTTACTGGCTTGTCCTTGACTGTTTGCATCTCTATACAGTCAGGCTGCTGGGTGTTTTTCTTTCTTTTTTTACCCTGAACTGTTTATTGTCCAGGACCCCTCAGCTGTGTCTTTCTGAATGTAAGGGTTGCAGGGACAGGAAGAGAAACTCTAAGTCATGATTTGCATCAGTACTTGGCTTATCCAGGTTTCAAACAGAAATTACACTGCTGGCTCAAAAAGCCAATTTGCTGGTCTAATTACCATGACTGGGCATTGCCAATGGCAAAGATATGCTCAATGAAGTAGCACCAGTAATTAAACCAGGCATTCTCCAGAGTATTTGCGTAGCACACCCACAGGCTCAAGAAAAACCAAACAACAACAATCACCAAAACCAGGCTGCCAGGRAGGGGAAGTAAATGTAAAAAAATCAGCCCTAGAAGGGATTGGGAAGAGGCAATTGCCAGAGACAGCAGCAGAGTGCACTCTTAGAGGGCCCCTYCTAGGTGTATGCCCTAAGTGGCCCATCACATGGACAAGCTGGCAAGATTTCCAGTTTGATAGTACTCAATTAACTTCACAACTGTGTTTTTAGCAAAATTAGATACAAAAAGTACTGACTACACACTAACATGGTCTCGCCTTCCATGGTACAATACATACTTCTTCAATTACTTCTACAAGTTTGCACCTCAGGTTTTCCAGTTCAATGGCTAAGGTCTTCTTTTCCTCATGAACAGAGATAATTTGATCTCGCAGCTCTGTATTTTGAGGAAGGAAAAGGCATTTTTATTTTATTTGCAGAGCAACAAGAGCAATATCGTAATCAACATATCGTAAGCAATATCATAATCAACAAACAATTGAACACAAAGCACCTTAACTGCAGACAGGGTATCAAGGTACATCCTCAATAATTTAGGAACATAGGTGTCAAGTAACAGATCTATAATTGGGCTGCAGTTTCAGATTTACTTTATTGAGGTGAGCTTCCTTGTCCAGGGCTGCTGTCTTTATCTGCATTCTGAATGATTCATTTCCTGCTATAATGGGGTCAACTCGGCCACCGCAGAGCAGCCGCAGTCTTAGTCAGGAGACAGTCACATCACCCGGGCTCTAGCACAGGCTCTAGGCAGTGGAAAGCAGCTTTTAATAGACATCCTCTAACACAAATTAATGCACTTCACTTCTTCTTGGATCATGAGTTCTCGTCACAAGGGAAATAAACCAAACAACGGGCAGTTAATACTTGGGAGGTTTTCCACTGAAGAAATTGTCCTCAACGGCTGCCAATTTATGGTCTTTGTAACATTATGTGAATAGAGTCAGAATGTAACCTTTACTGAAAGAAGAGCTAATGTCTGCAGTTTTCCCCTCAAAATTTGTGTTCCTTAGTCAAAATAAGGAATAAATTAAATTCACAAATGGTATAAAATATTTGATTACAATCACTTCTTAACAGGAGATCAGTACACATACGTAATATATCAAAGTTTAGATTAACATAAAAAGCACACAAAATACAAATCTATCGCCACATATTAGTTTTCAGTTAAGTGCTTTCATTCCCCACATTACTGCTATTACTGCTGCTCTTTGAATACCAACTATGAATTAGGAAAATTGTTAAGAAAATAGTTCCTAATGAGTGGCAGATGATTACAAAATATGATGCCATTTTGTTTCATTACAAATCTTCACAATATTGACTTTTTTCCTCTGCTTTCTTCTCTCCCCCTTTGCCTGCCTTTCAGAAGCATCAGATTTATTTTCCTCCCAATTAGCAGCACGAACTGTAAAGTAAGGAATAAAACTTGCTCCCCAGCTAACTAATGACCCAAGTCTTCTGTTTTTCTGTGTTGCCTGGTGGAATTAATGGAAAAATCTCTCACTATAATTTATGGGATCTGGATTAAGTTGGGTCTTATAGCACATACATGGACCTCTACAAGAATTGCATCTTTTCAGATACAGGTTATGTCCAAAAGAATAGYAAAAATAATTAAAAAAAAAATCAACCTCCAAATCAGTATATGAATTTCAGTTATGGCTCCAAGATTGCTCTACGCTTTCATTAGGAACCAGATCTCTCCTATCACTTCTACTACTGTATAAAGATGCCCTTTTCTCTTTTTGTTCCCTGGACAAAGCTTTATCACCTTAATAAATGAAACAGTGTTAATAAAACAGCCTCAGATTATGCTACTTTATGCATATATTCCATGGAAGTGTTGGAAAGGCAAAAACAGACTATTTGCAAGAAACCTCCAATATTTTGCTGAAAGGTGAGAAAGCCAAAAGAGGTTTGTGATACCCACCACAAAACTCAACTCTTGGAAGCACAGGCCTACAGAGGAACAGATTTCACGTTGTCTACAAACAAAGTTTACAAACTCTCTTCTGTTACATATGATCTTTCATTTAACAATCTGCTATGTACCCAATACACTCTTGAACTCCTCCCTGAGGATAAATGACATGCAGCTTAGTAGAGGCTTGGGATAGGGACTCAGTCACGACCTTTGGAACAAACTGTCAGATTGTTTCTCCCCATACATGTACACACTTCTTCCAGGTACATGGACAGCAGAACTTCTCCTTCCACAGATAACGGGATGCCAATCCATATCTTAAAATGATGAACATAGACATTCCCCTTTGTTGGATGCTACAACACAGTAACACATATATCTAGGATCATGGTGACTTTGTCACAGAGTTAGGCTAGAAAGAAATGCAGTTTTTGTATTGCTGAAAGTGCCAGGAATTTCTTAATAAAGTACAGATTTCTGGCATCTATGTAATTCCATGTTTCCAAGCTTTGCTGTTTTCCCTGGTCCAGCACTGTTCTTAATTTGCTTGTTCAATAATAATTCTGAAATATGAATGAAGCTTGTGTATACTAAAATATACAATGGAAATATAAATGAAGAGTCTTGTCTTAAAGGCTTTGAAAAAGTCACGTTAACGATAGCTGAAGCAATATCAAGGTGACCTTGTCCTTCTGTTCAACTATAAATGAACTTTTACWGTGTTAAGGAACTAAGGAAATGTTTCTTTTACCAGCTCAGTAACACTGGACACTCCTGGCTGTACAGATCCTTTTCTTGATGCCCTGCAACTTACCTTGCACACATAACATTACACAACATCTGGCCTGTCATGTCCTTAAAGTCCTTCCTGGAGATCCTCAGCTGACCACTGTCAGAGGAATAATCCYGAGCAAGACAGATCTCTAGCCCAAATGAATACCATCTTCTTTAGACAGSCTTTGCCCTCTGTGCACTGTAAGCTCAGTAACACTTCTCACCTTTGATTTGGCGTTGACAATGCACTGAGTTGCATGATCCAGAGCCAGCTTCTGGACCTGTAGACGCATCTTCTTCATCAATGTTGATCTCCTCAGTGATAATTTCGGGGCCCAGTTTTGCCATATAAAGCATACTAATTCTTTTCAAGGTCTTGTTTTCTTTGTTCAGCTGAAAGAGTGTAAACAGTAATAAGCTAGCCTGCTTTTAATGAGATGTATAAGAACAAAATGATTTTTTTCACCCAGTCATTAAATGATCAAACAAAGCAAAAGAAAACGGTGACGTTAGTTTAAACAGTCCATTTTACACTAAAATGGGCTGAAGATTCTCACTGTAGTCCTCTCTGGTGCTTTTGACTAATAAATGCTCTGCGTAGCTTCAACTCATTGAAGCTTCAACTTCATGCTACACATTCTTTGCAATAGCTGCTTCAGCTCCTGAAACATGTGCTAATATCAACTGAAGGACCTGAAGGGTTGGCATGCCTGAAAGCTTGTCTAGCTTTGCCACCCATATCAATCAGTCTCATCTTTTCCTACTCTCTTACTCTGCTTATAAACAAGTAACAAATGCTCCAACTATTATACTCCCAGACACGACAGAACCACCTTACAATCTTTTAGAGTCACTTTCAATTTTCTGCCTAATTATTACTGTAGAATCAACAAATATGAAATGAAAGCCATAACAGAGTAATTCCTTATGGATCAAACCACAAGCCAAAGATCACTCTGGGCAGCTGTGCTGGATGTTTCAGTGCATCCAATGGTTGGTGGAAGATAAGAAGAGTTTTTCTAAAAAACCTCCCCACCTTGACCAAGGTGGTTACTGGTGGCAGGAGAGATTGAACCACAGGGATTGTTGCAACTGTTTAACCATTTGCTTCACTGCTTGCCACACACTCTATGCTAGATCTCAGCAAGCTCAACACAGTCTCCRGGGGGCTCAGGTACATATGGATAAGGCTGTGCATCCACAAGACAATCATCCCCTGTGTTCATCCCCAAGAATAAGGCTCAACTTTCCACTGATGACATGAAACACATCCATGGAGAAGCCCATAAATAAAACGTATACTATACAGTTAGATTTTTTTTTTTAAATCCAAACAAATCATCTTTCATCCCTCTTTCCTTAGCCCCTTGAAAGATTTACTCGAGTACTATGGAAGATTTACTCAAGTAAAAAGTTTCTCCAACTTTTTCTCATTCCCAAAGAATGCGACTGAACAAGTGGAAGGGTGATGCGGGAACCTTCCATGGTTTAGTGAGCACTCACTAACAGACAAGTAAGGTTTGGTAAAGCAGCCCCAAACAGGGCTAATCTTTCAGCTACCCCTGTATGTGCATTACAGGAACAGGACAGATAAAGAAAAGATAAATGCATTCATTTTCTTACTTATATGCTGAATGTCCATCTTATGAATTCTAATATAGTGTCATTATGCAAACAATTAAGTAAATACCTCCAGAAGGTACATTGCTAATGCATCTAAATTAAAGTGATTTCTTGCTGGTGTGATTTTTACCATATCTAAAGATGTACTTTGGACAGCGGGTGGGGAAGGGGAAAAAAAAGGCAGTCAGTTTTGCTAATGAAATTTGGTTCAAAATTGCTGTAATCCATTTTCTGATGAAGTGGCTCGGATGCATTTTACACAAAAATATATAACAGAGAGATAAAAACATTCTTTAATAATAATGCACTTCTGATGAGATGGAATATAGAAAATTACACACTTGCTAAATTCATCAGACTAGACGCAATCAACAGAGCAGGTCACCTTTCCCCTGCCCTCGCTTCGCTTTCATAAGCAATCACCTGAAATGTAATGCAGTGGTTGACTTTTTCCATTTGATTTAGGCACTGAAACGCTCATTACTGCTTTATATCTCACATGGGATAGTTCTAAAACTTGTTTTCCATTTAACCCAAAAGCGCATAAAAACTAGGTGTCAAGAAGTTGGTCCATGACTTATTTCTTGTGTTTTCAGTCTTGCCTATGGCTTATAGTTCTTACCACCTTAAAACAATTTCACAGATCTACAACAGCATAAAAAACATAGAGGACACGTATGTCTTAATTTTGCAATCTCAAGACGAAAGAAAAGAAATTAGAGGAAATAGAGTAACTATAATTCTCCTCACCTTGGAAGCCAAAGCCTCAGCACTTTCACGGCATGTCTTCTCAATTTCAAGGTGGTTTTGAATACAGTTTACTTCCTCAATAACCATGTGAGAAACTAGAGAAGAAATTAAAAATTAGTCAGTGTTTTCCAGCACTTGACTCATACATCCTATGATCAGAAATACTATTTTTTTTCCTCCTCTTTTTGCTAAATTTTCAATGCAAGCACCTCAAACCCCGAGGAGCACATACTTATAAAACCTTTATGGATGGGAACTGTTTCGAACACTGAATATTTGCATCGTTTTAAGTAATTCTCTCTTAAGTCGTGTCTGCAGCATTAGAGAAGGTCAACTGGCAAGATAAATTTGGCATAAATTTAAGGAAGCAGAAGCCCAGCAGACGCCTCTCAAACCGTCACCATTTCCCATCCTTAGTTCAGCAACACTTGAGGAGTCAGAGTGGCATCATTAGGACTGTCCTTTGAGACTGCCAGAAGCCATTTTAATCCTCACGGAAATCTGGAGTGCATGCAGTTTTCAGAAAACTGGAACATTAATAGTTTTGAATAGCAAGTTTAACTCAGAAGTGTTATCAAGGAATTATTTTCCCTTTTCAGTCTTCAGGTTTAAATACCTTCACACTTGCTAAATGTACTGCACTAGAAAAGCAGCAGGAGGAACCTATATGGAGAAGARTTACAGGACTGAAGGCTCCTCATTTGCAGTGGCTGGTACGGCACGAAAGGGGACAAATCACTGCACTGTCCTTCCTTCTTCCACCCCATCGGCTGCTGCGTCTGTGCTACTGCATCTGACATCTGGGGCAAGAGATGTACCCAGTCCTGGTGCCTTAGAGAGTCCCCAGTGCCCCAGGGAACACGTGACCGTGTCTGAGAGATATATCCTGAAGAGGGACCAAAAATTAATCTTATTTTGTTAGATAGGAGGCAATGGGAGGTAGAGAAGTTTTAAAAGCACAAATAACATTTTAACTTGTAATTCCCCTTTCAATACTCATTAAGAACAGACTGCTGACTGTATAGACTGCTGAAAAACTTAAGTGACAATGACAGAAACTACTTCCCACCCTCCACCAAGAACATCCTCACACACCATGGACAAGAATGATGCGATTTAACAATGCCTAAAATCGAGAGAAAAATCATTAAACCTTATTTGACATCCAGACATCTTAATGACTGCAGAAGATTTTAGGATAGGAACATGCAGGCAGTTAAGAAGTTTTACTATTAATCTAAGACTGTAACATTACTGATACTGATACTGTAGTTAGTAGCATAGGAAATCATCAGTATTTTGGAGTTCCCTGTCAAATTAGTAGACGCACGTGAGTGACAAGATCTGCAAAATGAGCAATTTTCAGATTGCCTTATATGATGACTCCTGGCTCAAAAAAAAAAAACAAAAATAAAAATTAAAAACGTCTCTAATTCCCCTCCAAAAGTCAAGGGAAATAAAATAAATAGTAGGGTAAAGGATTGTGAAATCTTGGTCCTCACACCATTTGCACAGGAAGTCTTTCAATCACAGAAAGACAAGCAAAGAGAAGTGGTTGCTCTATGGCCACTTTTCCTGCCTTTGGAAATGTTTTCTGCTCCAAGCACGTCCAAGCTGCTACATTAAGAGGTAAAGCTTTAGGCAAAACTTGTTCTTACAGAAGATGGGTTGTGGCTCTCCCTAGATACAGAAATTTGGAGCACTGAAAGGCACTTGTCCGGATGCAGGAGCAGTGGAGAGCCTGCGCTGCTCCCGTTGCACAGACAGGAACCTCTTGTCCTCGACCAAAGCTAGCTAAAGTTAGGAGACAAGGCCTGGGCTCACATGGTACAACTAGGAATTACTCTTGGTTCATTTAAACTTAATTAACCTGCAATTATGATTAACTCAGGGGAAGAAAAATCTTTCCAAATTAAATACAAAAATATATTATTTCCTAAGTCCATCCAAAGTTCTTATTATGTCAATATTAAAATTCATAAAGCAGCACTAAGTGGCCTGAAACATCTCTAACCTTGACAGTTTTTTTTCAGGGGTAATAATAATCCGCAGCAAATGCAGGCCAACCAAAAACCACTTAACTAATTAGTAGTTGCAGTCACCGAGAAAACATGAATCAACACTGTTATTACAAGTGGCACATTTGAGTGGCATCTAATTATGACTTGATGAGCACGATACTTGCATTATCAACATTACTACTGCATCCCATCAGGGACTAAAAGCCGCTGATGGCATTGACTGCGAGCAACTCCCACTCAATGGGACCGCAGCACCCAACAATCTCCTTGGCAGGGGCACCCTCGCTAAATGACATGTTAAGCGTAATTACTGGTAGACATTGTAAATAAACAGGATTGGAAGTGAAAATTGTACCAAGTGCATAAGACACAATCTGACACATTGGAAGTGGCAGCCTTAATTGAGAGTTTCTTTGACTGCTCAAGATCATTTCAACTGCATTTCTCGGAGGACAGTGATTATAACTGTGGAGACAGACGGCATAATGGTATCAGCACTGCTGACAGAGCAGTGAATTAAATTGTATCTGCTGTTGTGTGAAAGCCTTGATGAGAGGTACAGATCCTTAGTGGTCTTATCATTATAACACAATGGTCATGTTGTCATCAACCTTGCTGGCTCCAATTGAAAAGAAATGATTGTGTGTTGAAGCTTTCCCCCCCACCACCACCTTCTATCTCTTGTGCTCAATAGAACCAATTTTCAGAGAGCTATGAAATCACGCAATAGGGCCTAAAATGCAGCTGCTTGGCATACAAACGGGGCCCCATTAAACTGGAATCACACACAATATGTGTTTATGCCAGGAGAACAAATAGAAGCTGAGTACAGGCCAAGTTTATTCACAGACACAAAGCCGATGTAGCTCTTCATCAATATAATTGCCTTTTATATTGTCGTTTAAATAATGGGCTCTATTATTGCCTTAAAATCCTAATATTCCTGGCATTTTATCACTATGTTTACAAGGTCTGTCCTTTAAAAATGTGAAAGGAAGATAAAAGAAACCTATAAAATTTTACAACATCAAATATTACTTCAAATTTTAAGTCTTAACTACTTGACATTTTCTGCCACGCTCTGGTATCCCTTGTATCATAACAAAAACAAAACAGGCTGCGATTTTTTTTTTCCACGGGAATAAGACTTCTTAGAGAACACTCTTGCCTCACAGAATAGTTACCCAAGATCATTTAAGACAGTATAAGTTCCCTGTTGATTTTTAATTATTTCCCATAATTATATCATACGTACAATTGTAAAACAGAAGTGAGAAAACTCCTCTATTAACGCAATCACACAAAAGTGTGGATCATGTGATTTCCTTATCCTGCATTAACTCCATCCACATTTCTAATGCTTCAGCGTGCAGTTCACTGTGCTGGCACAAACCAGACATAACAGACCACAATCCTATTGTAATTGTCTCTTCTAAGGAGCTATTCCACCAGGATACTTCCACTCCCATTAGATGTGCTTTGTTGCTTCCACACACCGTACAGTTTCAATAGAACCATTACCATAAAAGTGCAAAACTGAATATTGACATTCTCACAGACTAGAYAAAATAGAACTTGCTGTAAAAATTGAGACATCAGTTCAAACTAAAAACCTTTAATGCTGTTTCTGTTCTTACAGTAATTTCATTCCTTCATGGAGGAAAATATATCAATAGCAGAAGTAGTAATTTCAGCAATAGGATCAAACTCTACTCGGTTCAAGCAGATATTAATCCAAAAGTCTTGCAGTTTACTGGTGAGCTACAGCAGTGTTTGTACCGCTATATTTTCACGATTCGCACCTTAAGGATGGTTACCTATTTCAGAGTTCCTGGTAAGAGCCAAAGTCTTACAAGGTTAACTCCTTGTTAAGCCCCTAGAATGGGTCTTTGAAAGAAAAAGAGCAACAGAACCTGAAATCTCAACTTTCTTAACCCTTCATGCTTCTTGGAGCTACGTTCATAGGTCTTTATGCCAAAACATTCCCACTGATGTATTAACTTACTTTTCTGAAACTCCTCCAGTTTTTTGACGGCCTCATCTCGTTCTTGTTTGATTTTGTCACACTGCARAAGAGAAAATTGAAAAGAAGCATTGATCCCAGTTATTTAATTAACCATCAGTCACAACAAGCAAAAATCAACAAAGACCAACTGCAGGAACAATAATGGACAGATGTCTATCAAAGCATCATTTCTTTTTGCTTTCAGTCCTGTAAGATCAATGAAAAATATGCATAAAAATATCATTATCCAGAGTACCTCCTACCAACACCAGCAGCTGCGGTTGATTTTAGGCTCCAATTCAGAGCTACTATGAAACTATTTTAAGAGATCCACACTACCCAAAACTGATATAAGGAAAATTATCATACAGTAAATGTAATACTTTCATGTCATGAAAATCCTGTAATTTCTCTAGTCTTTATTGATTAGGAACAAAGGTCTACATTTCTATGCCCAATATGTACAAATAACTAAACAAACAGGGACATCCCGTTCACTTTCATAATATTGTGAGTAAACTTTAGCCACGTATAGGGGAGGACGGTTGTTAAGAAAATTTCTCACTATGTGTTTCGCTAATATGATATATAACGCTAATATGATATATAACGCTAATATGATCGCAATCATTGTTCTTAGGATGGGAAGATTTCTCTAAAGAGAGAACAGAAGAGCCATTATATCACTTTTGGGAAACCCCTTTCATAAGCAAATGAAACAATGTGAAGAAATGTGTAAACTTCCCAGGACACTGTCAATGATTAACGGCACTGTCAAAAGTGCATGCTCCCAGGGGAAGTGGGACGGGCAGGCAGCCTATCTCATGCACTGTGTTCATTGTTCCTCCCATGCAGCTGTATGTGCTCACAGCCATTTATCAGCTTACATTAACTTATTAATTCTGGAAGAGATACATGTGACTAAGTTCCTCACAATGTAACTATTTCAGCAATTACAAGCATTCTAACCATTGCMACAGAGTTGTCAACAAGAAGACAATAAGGAAAAGAGAAAACTACAATGATTTTGGTCTACTTTCCATTTTTCCATGCGAGAACCCACTTTCATTTAGCTGTGAAAGCAGGATGCTGTTAAATAAGAGGGAGGAGTCTGATCTCTACATATCCAGATACATGGAAACTCCTGCCCTGGAGAACTTCTGATGGGTCCCAAAGAACAATCTGCTCTTAGACACATGAAGACATCAGCAGTGTTGCTCCCTGGTAGCCTCCGGCTCCGAGGATGCTCCGAGAGCAGCAGGATGCTGATGGCTCCGAGAGCAGCAGGAGCTGCACTCAACAGGCAGCCTCCACTCTCTGGGCCCTGGGGTGATGAGTCGAGTCACCCGCTGCTGCTGCAGAGCAGGGACGTGGAACAGGCAAGACACATGAGAGCAGCAAGCCRGGGTGCTGAAGCAGTGCCGGGGGGAGCATACGGATTCACCTGCCGCTGTGGGGAATGCACAGAGAAGCTGTTGGGAGCACTTCGCTTACGAAGGGTGGGGAAGGGAAACTTCAGCTGAAGTTTCCATCTTACCTCTGCAGCAGAGGCGCAGCCCGAGAGCAGCAGGGACGCAGGAGGGAAGAGTCTCTGCCACACAGCGGAGCCCAGCCCAGCGCCACAGGGAGCCCAGCCCAGCCCGGCAGTGCCGCAGGGAGCCCAGCCCGGCAGGGCGCCGGGCAGAGCGGAGCAGGGCGCCGGGCAGAGCGGGGCAGAGCGGAGCAGGGCGCCGGGCAGAGCGCCCGCCTCGCTGCGGCTCCTCACGGCCTGCAGCGGAGGCGGCGCCGCCTGGCCCCGCGCCGCCCGCCCGCGCCACGGGCATCTTAAACACTTGATCTGTTGCCCACACAAGCCAACAAGACRCTTCCTACCCATGGCGGGAAGGAGATGATGATGTGGAGGATGTCCCTGCTCAGTGGCAGATAAAAGTCTCGAGGAATCTAAAGCAAAACGCTTCCACATGCAGCTAAGGGGCCACTAAATGAGCCAGGGCACTTGGCCTTGAGTGCCATTTGTGGCAGAGCTCCGTGTGGACCACGGCAAGCTGGCTGTTCTCCCACTAGTCACACACRTTTCTGTGCACAATCAGGGGCTGCAGGTTTGGGTCCCCACAGAACAATTCCTGCTTCCAGTTACAGCCTTCCAAACATTTTTCGTTTGCCACTGCTGTGTTTCAGAATAAAAGAGCAGGAGGAAAAGTAGAGTGGGAGATTGTGGCCCTTGCTGGAATGATCAATGGAAAGCACTTTGCCTTTTGTCTTGCAATCAGACCTGCTCAAGCAGGCCCCTGTTCCACAGCCCCTACCAAAAAAAAAAAAAAAAAAAAAAAAGGTTTATTTCCAGTTTAGCTTAAAAATAAATGAATAAAAAATGGCAGCTATAGCAGCTGTAAATAATTTGTAAAAATGTTCACATAGAACACTTCAGATCCATAATAAAAACATTGTCTCTGCTTGAAAAAAAATCTTGCAATTAAAAGAAGAAATAATTAAAAATTTAGACGTTAGCTGCTCTCAAAAATAAAAACCTTCACGCAGAAGCCTTCAAAATCTTGCCTTTCTAATAAAGCAGCCTGACTCATACACATTAGAATGGTTAATTGACAAGAATATAACTAATCCTGAATGCTGAAAAACAAACAGCGTAACGTTACCGTAAAATCTACTGTTGACTTTCCCATTCAAGTACATAGGATTGTTAGGAAGAAGTAGTTTTTAAATCCTTTACTAATTCTCTCCTTGTCAGAGCTAACTTCCACATTCAATATCACTCTCAAATGAACAAATTTAGGTAATTCTTGGATTGTCTGCCCTTTCTTCTGGTTTTGGATGATTTTTTTTGTCAAGAGTTCAGGCTCCTCTGCAGAGGAAAATATGTACTTTACCCTTATATGTTATTAATGTAATATTTATAGTGCCATTATTCCTACAAAACTCACTGTCAAAATTGCCATTCCAGTCCTGAACTGACTATAAGAGTCAATGTGAAATTTTGCAAAATAATATCACTGCATTTCTATTTAAGAAGCAAATCGTAGTTCAGTCTCCTGCATTCACTTTGTGACAATACAAGAGCTTTGACAAACACAGCTCTTCATTACAGGTTTTCACGTTCTTTATGCACAAGATACAAGGCAATTCTTAAGCACTGAAAGCCAAATTTTCTGGCAACTTACTATGCAACTACCACAAAAACTAATACTTTCAGAGCTCTGGGTTTCCTGTTCTTTGAAATTCCATTAGTGGAAGCTGACATTCAGGGACTCTGGCACCTATTTTTCTCCTTAGAGGAAAAAATAATTTCTAAAACAGTATAACCTATATTATATGTATTAGGCTGACTACTTACAAGTCACATAAATGCCAAAAGCTGATGTTCAACCCAAACTCTGCTTCTTTTGTGAGGTGAACAGCAGTGCATGAACTTTTTGGAACCAGCACAACATCAGCCTGCTCGAGAACCCGACCCTACAGTGCAATGTTGAGATGTTGCTGCACAAAACCACCTGCAGCCCTGTGGATATTAAGCTCCCTCTGGCGTGTCCTCTCCCTCCAGCTTAACGATTCTTTGCCACTAATTTCCAGCAGGGCTGGATTTCTTGCCTATTCTCGTGTAATAGTCTTCTTTTCCTCCCAATTATTGTGTACTCCCTGGYATAAACTCCTACTCACTTAAGTAAAGGGCCTTGAAAGGGCAAAAAACAAGGAAGAGACTGTTCAGCACAGAATATTAAGACGCCAGAAGTCCACACAGTGGACATACAATGAATTAGGCATTTCCAAACAACACAAGATACATTCTTTTCAATTTATACAAATCATAGAATTTATGTTGATTTTTATGCTAGTTCTAAAATTATGAATGCAGTACAGTGCTCAAAAGCATGCCATGACATTTGCTGTTCTCTAGTTACAGAGAGAATGAGCATGTCATCAAGACAGAACCCCTTCTCTGTTCCAATTTGGTGACAAAAGCACACTAACAGAATGGATTATATGTTAACAGCAAACACCATGAATGCTGTATCAGAGATACAGTATTACATCTACTGTTTTGGAAAGCTGTCTTGCCTTTTTTTCCCCTACTGGCAGGGTGACAAAACACTGTCAAAACCAGTGCTCAGAGTCATTTCTGTCTGATTAGCAAGTAGTCAAATATTATTCATGATCTGACTCTCAATACATCAGAACTGCATATTAATGCACCTACATTTGTGTTCCACTGAATGCAAGATAACTAATTTTGTGACTGGTATGCATGTTTAGTTGGCTACTTCAATTAAAAGGATGACCTAAAAGAGGTAATCCACCACTGTCATTTTTGCTCCAGTAGTTGAAAGTATTTAAAATTGCTACTACAAAAGAAATGCTGCTGCATTAATTTTGTCAGAGACTCCACCAGAGGTCTCTAAATTGACAGCTTAGTGAGGGAATGAGGAAGAGTCACTGCTGATCAAAGACTTGATTCTTTGCTCTTTGCATTTCCAATGTTATTTGCATTTTAAAAAGAAGTGTTTTGAACAGAGTAACCTACATAAGAGTCAACTTACCTTCTAATCTTAAAAAACAAGTAGAAAATGAAAGCTACAGATCTAAAAAAATAGGCTTGACTGTAAGATAGCTGTATGTTCCATATTTCTAATATAAACTAAGATCATTTTTTCCACACACACAAAAAGTATTGTTTGGCACAGCCCATCTCCCAGTACCATATAAGTGTACTGGGGATTTAGAATAAAACTGCACTAAATTTACCAAACACATATACATATAGACCTCCATTTAACTCTGGTGTGGTACTTTCCACACATGGTCCATAAATCATTTAGAAAGAATTAGCTCTCTCTTACCTTCCTCCTGTCAATGCAATTACATTATCATAATTAATATGGGGGAAACAATTTGCTTATGCTCATACCAACAGTGGCAGAAAACAAAAACAGGAACAGAAATTCACTGGCAATTTCAAGATCTGCAGGCCAAGGCACCCTGTGCCACACTTCTATCCAGCTTTGATCCTGCAAAATATTAACTAAGATATAAAGGCAGACAGATGTTAAGGAGCTTTCAGGATTACCCTACAGTAATGTGAGGAAAAAGTTCTTCAATATTAGCACTGTATATAAACATAACTATGAACTCTATATCAGTAGGCTATTTTTGTAGAAGAAATGCACTTAAGGCCTCCTCCATAACCACTTGAGTCCAAGCACTTTTATAGACAATTAAACAGAAATGTTTACATAAGCACACCAATCTGCAGGATGGAGGTTCTCACATTCCAGTAGGGCAAATTAGTTAAGCACGTCCCGTGCTGGAGGAGTCTCAATTGTTATTCAACTATTAAAAGAAGAAAAAATGGATCTTCTGAAGAAACGTGCAGAAAAGT